GAGAAATTTGTGGTAAGTTATTTTGTGGTTCTTCCCTAAATCTTTATTTCCCACTATTGCAGCTCAACAGTATTCTAAGGTGACCTGCTCCTCACTTGCCAATATCATAGTAGTTCTCTCTCACATTCCCAAACTGAACTGACAACTTAAAAGTGAGAAGCCTCCTGTATGATCTAATTTCCCCTTTTCTATGAAAAAGAATATGGATTGCAGGCCTCAGTTCTGGCATCTACATTTCTAAGAATTGGAGCTACATTGTATGATTCTCATGTAGAACACAGGAAAGAAAGACAATCGGGCTGATCCAGCCTTTATCGTCTAAATACTTTTGGTCACTGTAAATAAATATATAAACTTTTTTTGAGGGGGGGGGGACTTCTGGATTGCCTTCAGTGAGATAAAGTCCTGGAAGATGAATAAACAGAGTTTTAAAAGTTCTGTTTTATACCTTGATTTTACACCTAGCAATATGTTCTAGTAGAAACTGTCTCACTCCTGCTATGAGCCAAGATGGTTACACTCAATTAAAAAGCTACATGAAAATGCTCCCAGGCTACATAAATCAGTAAAAGTCATTTACCTGTTGAAATTCCAGAGAAACATGTGAACCAAGACTGTATTCTCATTTTTAACATTTTAATTCTATAGTTTTACCTCTAACTAAGGTAAGTTTCATTCTCCCTTATTAGATAGCAGTCAGGTAAGTATCTGTTATATTATGCTGGTGACATCACTACTCCATTTTACTGACTGGATTCATAAGTTTTCAAGCCTTTACAACCCCTTGTGATGAGGAAAAGCTAACTACTACCTACCTCAAAAAGTTATGATTCATGAAAGAGAGCCTCCCATCATTAGTATTGCAAGCAAATAAATAGAAGTTAAGCTAAGTCTTTGAATATCTTGCAATGATTTTTTTCATTTATCCAGGATCCTAGAGAGAACTAATTAGGTTACTGAAAAGACAACAGGAATGCAAAGACTATATGGAAGCTACTGTAGATGTTAGCAATTTTTAAGACTTTAAAGCAAAAACAAGTATCCCAGATATTAAAAGGCTTCCAGGTATATGTTTATAAAAGGTTTTATCTAATGGAAACAAGCCAATCCAAACTTTTATGAGTCTAAATTCAAGACATTGCCTCATTTTTAATTTATACAACTCAATCAATGAGTGCCTTTCAGTGAGTGCCCCTATTTACTAATTGAAACATAGGCTTAAAGTAAAGCTTCAACTGCTCAGTGAGTTTCAACTGAATTTAAGAGATCTGTATAATCTGAAAGAAAAGGGGAAGAAAAGAAAAAAAAAGCTTTTAAAAGAAAACATTCTATAGATATTCCTACTAGATGAGAACAAAGCCATGTTACTGCTTTTTTCTCTGAGAAATAATTCAATGCTTGAAAAATGTTTTTTTAAAAGAATCTCCTTAGCCAATTTTTTTTGCAATTTGGGGGGTTAGTAACTTTCAGCCTGCACTATGTTCAGTTTTGTACCCATGGTACAAGAGAGCATAAGAGAAGGCCTGAAGAATTAGGCAGTCCCAGAGACATTTAATTTTTTTCCTTTGAAAAGCAGCAACTTCCTTCAGTTACGTTTGCAGAGTCAGCAGATTTTAGGATTGTGTTAAGTGTCTAATAGATACACATACATATGAGTATCCTAGTAGCCAGCACTGATTAAAAATTTGGCACTTCTCTTATTTACTATCTGTACAATTAATGGAAGTTCTCTCTGTAAAAGAGATTCATTCAGATCCTGCATATATTAGAACAGAAGATGGCACTGGAATTACAATAATCCCCCCTACAAAGTATAACATTAAACAATTTTAAATAATTTCTCTGAGAATGCATACCTTTAAGTCAATATTTACTGGTATGCCACTTACATAAAAAACTTTAATTAGAAAAACAACATTCACTAATTTGAAAATGCACAATATATAAGATATAGGTTGGGCAAAGCCTGAAGGAAAGATTTTATATAATCAAGGACATTTTTGCCATCCATATAAGAGCCTGCAAATTATGAAAAACATTCCAAGAAAAATATTTGAAATTCCTAAGGGCCAGATCAATTTTTGATAGAATGACAAAGACTTCTTCATGTTGTCTATGTCTTCTGCCCTCAGTTTAAGAAACTAAAGTTACATTAAATCAAAATGTTTCTGTATTTGCATAATGCTAAGTCACGTTTATGAAATGGACGGCCATATATTTAAATAAAATTCATAATGTATGAGGGACCAGAGCAGGTGCCAGGACCTGATCTAACAGAGGAGCCTCGCTGACCCACTCGAGCTGTGCGGAGGCCCCGTATGGCAGCACGCAGGCTGCCCGGGGTCCTGGGAGGCAGACGCCTGGCCCAGCCCTTGAACTTCCAGGGTGCTGCAACCCTACAGACTGGCCCCTGAAAGGCTCTTTTTGTCTGCTGCTGCTAATGGGATGGGGCAGGCAGCCGCACAGCACATCCGGCAGGCCAGATCACATGCCTCCCCCCCCCCCAGTTTCTCTACCTCCATCTGTTGCTGGCCCATGCCAAGAGGGCTGGACTCACACATACACTCAGCTTCTTATAAAAATCATATCTATCCTCAGCTGATCAGGAGGAAAATGAGTTTGCTCTGGATTTTAAGGCAGAAAAGTGAAGGGGGGGGGGATTTCAAAGGCCCTGGAGAAAAAGAGCAAAGCTCTTCTGTTTGCCGTCCAAAGTGCATGTTGAAGCAAAAACCCTGTGGGAAATGGATCTGCTCCTCCACGCAAAACCTCAAGGGCTTTACAAAACCATTGGGGAAAGGGAGCCTGGTCTTCCTTGTCCAGCTCCAGGTGGCATACTTTTCCCAGCACTTAGCATCCTTCCATACGAAAGAGGAACACAATGCTGGGAGAAGAGGCAGAAAACGGGGCTGCATTTCCAGAATGGAGAAGGGAGACATGGGGTGATGCAGGGCAGTGAGAAAGTGGGGATCAGCGATTGCTGTGGGAAGGAAGGAAGGAAGGAAGGAAGGAAGGAAGGAAGGAAGGAAGGAAGGAAGGAAGGAAGGAAGGAAGGAAGGAAGGAAGGAAGGAAGGAAGGAGCAAAGTTTCCAACAAACCTGCAGGAAGGAACAATCCATGGCTGCGGAAACCAAGCGACAGCCTAGTGGTGGCGAACCTATGGCACGGGTGCCAGAGGTGGCACTCAGAGCCCTCTCTGTGGGCACGTGCGCCGTCACTGAGTTTTATAAAACCTTTTCACTTTAGGGCTCTGCTGCCATGTACAAAAAAAAAAAGGCTCAATCAATCAGTCAATTTCAACTTCTCGCGGGGAAAAAAAAGATCTTGCAAAGTTGGAATTGATTGAACTTTTAGTCCCACCCAGTCTGCCTTTACCACCACAGCCACGCCCACCCAATGGGCCACACCCACCCGGCACCCAACGATGCATAAGTGGGTTTTGGATTGCAGTTTGGGCACTCGGTCTCTAAAAGGTTCACCATCACTGTGATAGCCTGTTGTTGGTGCCGCTGCCATGAGGCAATGTACTACAGGTGGCGGGGGAGGCCTGGCTGTGGGGCGCTGAGTTATGTGGGTGCAGGGCATGTGAGAGAGCTCCACCAGCCCCCACCCTGCCTTCCCTCACCTCATGGCAGCAACACTGGCCTGCCAGACGCACTATGCCTTTGCCTGCCCTGTTGTGGCCGTGGGCAGGCAATGAGATGGAGAGGGCCAGCCCAGCGGTAGCAGCAATTCCACTAATCTGTGCCGTATGGATTTTGCAGCCCCAAAGTGGCTACTGCCAGACATTGTCGGCCCCCGTGTGCTCGCCACCTCCTGTATATGAAAAAATAAGACATCACCCAGAATTAAGCCCTAATGGGTCTTTTAGAACAGGGGTGTCAAACTCGCAATGTCACGTGATGTGTCGCAGCATATCGCAACTTTTTTTCCATTGCCGGCAATTGGGTGGGCGCAGTTTCAGTATAATGCATCTGACCCGTGGGCTGGCAGTTTGACACCCCTGTTTTAGAACAAAAATAAATATAAGACCCGGGTTTATTTTCCAGGATCCAGTAATCCAGATCTTCAAACACAGGTAAATAAGGGACTTAAGTTTATGCAGAAGCATATTTATTTTATTTTTATTATTTGGTTTGCTTTTTCTCTTATGTTTTCTGCAGTAATTCAGTGCAATTTTGTCCCTTTATCCTCACAATAACCTTGTGAAAGAGGCCGAGTTGAGAGAGCAATTCTCCAAAAATCACCTCATGAACTTCAGTGGGCAGAGCTGGTCTTCAAACCAGGTCTCCCCAGTATACAGATGTCTTTTCCTATGTTTCAGGAAGTTCTTTCCTACCATGTAGTTATTGAACATTAATAGGTGGGATGAACATTAGAAATTTCACCAAAAACTCTACATGAAATCAAAAAGCTAATATATCATAGCAGCTGCACGTGCAAAGTATAAACTCAGATTCTTGTATTCCAAATGAACCTCAAATAACAGCTTTATCATTTCAGCTTCAGTTCCATACATGGATAATAGGACTCATCTTGTGGGTGAACTGCGATTATCAAAATACAGATAGGTAATAAAAAACAGTAAATAATGCGGTAGTAAAAGTAGTTCACGAAAATTACTTCCTACATATTTTTAAGGGAAAAGTTTAACTCCGAATCCATTAGTGCTCGGCCCCGGCTGGATCCCATACAATGAAGTCAAACTCCTTTCAGTCTTCGACCTGGTTTCCTGACCTGAGCTTTATCACTGTTAATGCTTGATCCTTCCAGGAGACGGAAAGTAGTAATGAGCGTGAACTATTAAACCCTGGATCGACACTTGAGAGAAAGGCGTGGTTTACCTCAGGGCAGGGCAGGGCAGGACGACTGCCTGTCGTGGGCCGACTGCGCGTCTCTCCCACCGCGCTTCCCACGTACCTCTGAGCAGCTCTGCTGCCGTGACCGCATGAGGTTCAAGAGGAAAAGGAGGATAAGGAGGAGGAAAGAGATACATTCCATACCTTTTTCTTCCCGGCTCTCGGCCGCCATCCTTTTCCCACAGCCGCTCCGGATATAAGCACAGCGCTTGCCACACAGAGTGAGACAACCTCACTTGGTGACGAGGAACGTGGAAGCAAGTGACAGAAAAGATCCAACAACGATCCAGCAAGAAAAAAAATATTCTCAGTGGCTATCCAGCCAAAATGGAGTCTCCCTTCAGAATCCACTTCTTCCTCCCCCTCCTCCTTCCTCTTCTCCGTCCTGACTTCCTACGCGACAATTCTCTCGCTCCCACAATGCTCTACGCGACGGGCGCAATAAGTCACAAGTCTTGGCGTCAGCGGAAGTGGCGGTTCGCATCATAGTGGGGGAGGCGGCAGAGCTGTACGCAGGGATGTCAGTTCTTTTCACGATGGAGACCCTGAAAGCCTGCAAATTCCTCTTGATGTGAAGTGAAAGCCGCCTAGTGAGATCACGCCAAGCACTTTAGGATAGGGTGGGTCTAATTTCCTCTGGTGATTGTAGTAATATGTTATAAAACTTTGCCTTCTTTATTAGATGTCCTTGTTTGGTTATTGATGCATATTTCAATAAGTTTTTGTACAATATCTAGAAATCTTGGATAAAGGGTATTAATGTCCGTAAATAAATATTATTATCGTTATAATATACTAAAATAAAACATTTCTTAATTTTTTTTGCAGTAGCCCTTAAAAGGATGAAAAGACAACAGTTTGACTGATTTTTTTCAATAAGAAACCAAAATCGGAATCAGTTGTATCAGAATTGGCCTTGGGTGGTACAGTCACAAGCACAACTGCACCAACTTGAAAGCTGCATGTCAATTATTGAAATAAAAACCGATAAAGACTCCAAAATTGAAAATAGTCTTAATGTTGGGCAGCGGGACAATATAACAATTTTAAAGAAAAATATGACAGACTGGTAATGTGTAACAAAAAGGTTGCGAGTGACTTCACAAAAGGGAAAAGTGTTCATGTGTCAAAAGAATGGTAATGTTTTCGGATTGAGGCATCGGAAAAATAAAGAGGTACAACAAGCTTCTCTAAGGGAAAAAAATGAAAACATTTTTCATCAAAAGTTCCTATTACATTTGTAAAGAGACAATGAAACGTGAGCAGGATTCAATAACAAAAATAATAGATACGATGAATGAGAAATATTTACATTATTACTTGTAGAGTATTTAATTCAGTTTTCAGACTGGCAAAAAGATGTAAACATAGAAGATGTAGACATAAAAGATGATAGAAGTGCAAATTTAAAATGGATTAGTTATGGGAATAGCATTACATTCAGATAAAACTGCTTGAAAGTAGTTGATTTCATTGCAGAGGAAATTAAAAAAGAAATATTTACTAAAATTATTGAAAATAATCTGAAAAGATGTTTGATTATTGATGAAGCTTCAACGATATCTTGCAAACCAGTTATACTTTTCTTAAAAGTTGAGGATTTAGTTACATCACCAACAATTTTTGTTGAGCTAGTTGAATTGGAAAAACAAGATGCAGAGACAATATGTTCTTCAGTTATAGAAAGTTTAAATAATGTTGGGTTTACTAAGAACTACATAGAGAAAAATGTATTAGGATTGTGCTCCAATGGTGCCAGTGTTATGTTTGGGAGAAAATCTGGAGTGAGCACTAGGATAGCAAAAGAGTTTCCAAACATAATAAAATGTCACTGTTTAACACATCGCCTCTATCTTGTTTTAGATGATTCGATAAAGGAAATAAAGCAAGTAAATCATTTTAAAATATTTATTGATATGTACTATTTTTCATCAATAAGAATCAAATTGAACTTACCAAAATATCCGAATAACTTGGAATTGAAATTATAAAGATTGGTAGAGTTTGAGGACCAAGATGGGCTGCCTGTAGTTTAAGGTCAACCCCAGCTGTAGGGCATGCTTATCCAGCGCTATATTATTATTTTTATTCAAATGAAAAGTACTTAGGTATGGCTGCCCATCTTGAAAATATAACTGATTTGGCATTGATGATTAATATTTTACATGAAATTTCTTTCAAATGCACTGCATAGATATAATAAAGGCTGAAAACTTGTGATGATCTATTAAAGCATTTCAAATGTTTGGAAAGGAAAAGGGTCCATATGAAAAGAAAGTTGATGAATTAATTACTTTAGAAACCTTCAAAAATATAAAATTTGCAGAAAATCATCAAGTTATTGGGCTTCCTTGGGAAAGACTTTAGAAAATATAATGAATTTGAAAAAAAGACTAATGGATTGTGAACATTTAAAGGCAGATTGTAGCCAATTTCACGATAGGAATAAATTACAATTTCTCAATTTTTGGAGCCAGACTACTGGAATATTGAAGAAGTATTAATTCCATGGAAAGCAGTTGAAGAACAATTGCTCATATTTAATGACATTGTTAATTACCAAATTGATATTAATGATTATCAAGATTTCATGGAAAACATTTTAAAAAATTCCCAGAACTATTCAATTCCTGAAAGTGTTCAAAGAGTTAAAATATTGTCAGAACAATTGCTGTAAGTTCAGCAGAAGTGGAAAGGTGTTTTTCAAAGATAAACATATGTTCAGAGAAGTCACCTGTTTCTAATACATCAAACTCAATGACTATTAGCCTAATTGGCCTACCTCTAAAGGAATGGGATCCTATTCCTACAGTCAAAAGATAGTTAAGGATAAATCACACAGCCAATAATGCTCAGATAAAATCAAAGACAATTGCAAGTAAGGACGCCAATCAAAAAGCAATATTGAAATATTTTTAACAGTTTTATTGTTTTTGTCAGGTATTAATATTTTTTCATTAATATTTTAAAATTATTATAACAATTGTGTATCTCTTTTATTCTTATTTAAGTATTAAATGCAAGAAATAATAAACTACCTTTTGGTATATCATTTTTTTATACTTAAAACAGTCATTAGGGCAGAGAAGTGGTTGTTAAATTATTTGAATCTCACCACTGGTTGGGTGTGATTGAGGTTTGGGGAATAAGGAGATAATCAATTACTCCCACCTTCTCCTATCCCAAAGCAGCACGAGCAGTTTCTGATGCTCCTGCTTTTTCTACCCAAAATTGTCGCACAGTTAAAAGCCATTTTCAAAGGCAGTGGATTGTGTTTGCCTTTCAAGACCTAGCAAATTAGTGGGAGCAGAGGCCCGAAGAAAGGAAAGATGTTAGATAAATGTGCAATTTATTGTTGCAATAGATAAGTAGAGGCTGAATCTTTGAATCCAACACCTCTCCCTTCATTGCTTTTTTAGCAGAATGTCTGTTTAATGACAAGTATATTCAGATGTTGTTCTCTGGCATGGGGGCATGGGGGCAAAAGTTGGTTTCAGAGTGTGTTTTATTCTCACAGTTTACATGTTATTGGCTCTAAAGGAAGCGAGTTAAGAACTGGGTTTTGCAGACTCTTGAGGATGCTCCTGGGGTTTCAGACATGGCTGGGAGGGCCATTGCGGAAGCCTACTGTAGTCGTCCTCCTGGGCGTTGCTATCAGTTTTCAGTATGCCAGGTGGTCTAGACAACGAAAAACAAAAGTAAAAGAAGAAGCTTCTAAAAACAATGTCGTGTGATAGGAATGAGGGGCCGAAGGCAGCAGAATGGGGCCCTTTCTGAGGTTGTGGGGAAAATCACAGCCCTAAAAAATTCTGATGAGACCAATACTCACACCTTTGCCTTCTTCATTATTCAGTTTTTTTCCCCTCCTTTTGGGGGGTAGCAGAACGCAGAAATTTGATATTTTGTAGCAATCAGATACATCTTAGGATTATAACGAAAAGTTAGGCTAATCACCAAGATAAACTCTGACCACTGATCCTAAAGGATTAAATAGGAAAAGTAGATCTCTCTGCCTAATTGTCTCATTTCCCCATTTTAACAATTGTTAAAATAGTTTGTTAACATGTATAACGCTATTTAGTGTTTGGTTTTCCTTTTTGATGCATATTTTGGAAAGTTTGTAGATTATTCTGAGAAATTTAAATGTTCATTTTCTACTTACAGAACTGTAATGTTCTAAGACAGTGGTTCTCAACCTTTTTAATGCCGCAACCCCCAACCAGTCATAAGTCGAGGACTACTCAACCGGTCGTAAGTCGAGGACTATTCAACTGGTGCAGCACCGTTTGCAGAATGGGACTTTTGGCAGGCTCAGCAGGGCAGAGACAGCCTGGACAATTCCTATTGTCTTTTGAAAGCCAATAGAATTAGACTCTATTCAAGAGAGTCTATTCTATTGGCTTTCAAAAGCCAATAGAATAAAAGGGAGTAGCACAGCTAAGGAAAAGGGGGAAAAAATGGCGGACTGCGTTGTTTGGCGACCCTCGTGAAATGGTCGTTCGACCCCAAATGGGGTCCCGACCACAGGTTGGGAACCACTGTTCTAGGATCTTGATAGATGACATTGTTAATGTGATTTTCTGTTCACCAGAGGGAAATTGTCATCAGGCTCAAGAAATCAGGAAACAAGGCTGTTCAAATGAGTATAGGTTTATTCGCTTGCTAATACTCTACAAGAATTTGAAGTAATGGTTAAAACAAATTGGCGGTAGATAAGAATCAACTGAATTCAAAGTGGGCTGAAATTAAATCTCTTGTGAATGTGAAGGGACTTGAGACTGATGACATTCTTGACCCCTTCCTCCCTTGGGATCTGCCTAGTCATCTCCTACAATTGTGTTTTTAATTAGAGATTGCAGCAGCAGTAGCAGCATATCACTAGCATATACTATATTTTAAGGAATAGCTTATGTTTTCATTTGGGGGTATCCTTGGATCATTCTATTTTGTTTTTTAGTAACTATTGTTTGATGTAGTAGCATGAGGGTATGGTCAAATTAAAATAGCTTTCAGCCTCCAGAAGAAGCTGGAAGGAAAGATTTTTTCAGAGCAATCCTACAATTTTTTTTCTTATTTTATTATTAAGATGGGGGAGTTTGAATGATGGAATTAGCCAAAACAAATTAGTGTGTTGCTAATACAAATTTCTGCTGTTCTGGAAGCAGGAATATGGTAGATTTGTGCAAGTTTCAGGCTTGAAAGTTTTCAATTTCAAAACACCTCATTTTGAGTTTGAAATAACTCAACAGTTCTGATACGTCGCACAATCTCACATGACATCATGAGTCTGACATGTGTGCACTATAGTCACGATTATATTTTAGGCTCTTGGCAAATGGCCTTCATTTACAGCCTTGCAGTACTGTTGTCAGGTCATTGCAGTTTATGACATTTCTTGCTGGAAATTGGCACTTACTTCCAGTTTCCAGAAAAAAATACCCTACCCAATGTGGCAACGGACTTGCTTTTTGTGACTGTTTAACTACCATAAAAAAGGTAAAATCAGGTTGATCACACGATGATGCATGTAATAACCACCATGGCTTAGAATCATAATTCTAGGCTCAATTACAGTCATAAATTGAAGATTACCTGTATAAAATTGTAAGATGAATGGGGCTTTTGAGAAAAGATAAAAAAAATTACCTGATTTTGAGTTTGTAGCTGGCAAGTATATGGATTTAAGGTATTCCATAAGATTAAAAGAAAAATAAATTCCAAAATGAATTCACAAGCACCTGTGTTCAGTGATCTGCAGAATATTAATGAGATTAGCCGTTCATAGTTATTGTGGTTTTATTCAACTCAGTGCCTTCCAGACACATTTAACTTTCCCATTAATGTCCCACCAGGACAACCTTTGGCCTTCTACTCCAGAACTCAAAAGTTGCTAAACAATATGGAACCCAAATTATATTCAGATGCTTTCCCAAAGTTGGGCAGTGGGAATTCTGCCACCACCTACAATTGTAAACCCATCCATGGACCCTGGTAGAATGGAATTCAGAGGGTCACAATAATGCGGTTACAGGCTCACTATCCCTTTTATGTTCATAAATATATTCACTTGTGTATTTAAAACATATAAAACATTGAGTAATAAATACCTCCCAAGTAGACAGAAAACAGAAAATACAATCAAGCATCAAAACACAATGTCCTAATACTTAAGTACTTATTAGAAATTATAACATAATTGTATAAAATATATTTCATTATGTAATTACATAAAATATATTGTGAATTATACATTATTATAAATTAAGTTAATTTCTTAGCTTAAGTATTCAACTTACTAAGTCTAAATTGAGGATAAGGTTTACAGAGGTTGTGTGTGTGTGTGTGTGTGTGATGTTTTTTTTTAAGAAAATGAGATGCTTAATGCTTTTGTGCTACTTTTTCCACTTAAATGATTTACTTCCAGGAGGTGGAGGATGGTACTTCCAGGAGCCTTCAACTGCTTAGACCCACCTATGAAAAGTTTCAGTTCAATCTCCATATGAAGTCACTTTGCTGAAAAACTACAATTTCTTGTCCTGCTTCAGGAAAAACTGCAAAGTGGAAACCTTCCTACGGGTGATTAAAATGCCATTTTAATCTTCATTTTAGTCTTCATTTTAGAGAAATCAGTTGTGTCCCCTAAAAACAGAAAAAACTAACCTCTCCATTCCACTTTTCCGGCCCAGTTTTCTAGAATCTGGAAAAGTGAACGTACAATTACTGTCCAACTGCCTACATGCCCGAGTTAAGAGCAAATCTACCACATTATTTCCCAAAGTCTATCAGACTCCATCTTGGCTATATAGCTGGCTTTTTTCAGCCTTGTAAATGTATTTTAACAATGGAAAAGTGTTGGCCCAATCTTAGTTCGTAATGGAGGCAATTTTCCTCCCACTTATGTCAATTTCAACTTAAGGCAACAAAATTATTTTAGTGAGACTCAGCAGAATCTAACATTTTTTTCCAGCTTCATTTTTTTCTCATCAAAGTTTGTTTACTACTACTACTTTATGGCTTATTTTGTAAATATTTTTGTTCACTTAAAGACCATTGTGGCCAAGTGAAACTTCTAAATTCAGAAATAATGTAAGAGGACAAGTAACAGGCTGGTAATCATACACAAGATATTTGCTTGCAATTAGGTCAGGTAGAGAGTATTAGATCTAACATTCCCTCTCCCCCCCCCAAAAAAAAACCTAATTTCTAGGATAAGGGAGATATGGCAGATAAAAGGGATTCATCTGCTGCATATCTTTATTAATAATGAATCAGGCATAAGCATTACTTGTAAAAGATACTAAATCTGATGAAGCTTTCATCAATAAACTGCTTTAATTTCTGACTTTCATAATGAATACATATTGTAACACTTCTTTCCTTGGTGATTTTGATTACCTTGATCCTCTTCTGCAGAGTACCTTCCCTTCTTCCTTCTGGCCAGAATGGTGTTAATAATTTATTAAATTATTATGCCACCAGAAACTCTAGGCAATTTACAAAAACACTTAAAAATGCATAGCATTAAAAAAAAACAAAGAGGATAAAAAGATGGCAAGAAAAAAAATCTGGATGAGAAAAAGAGAGTAACACTTATTTTCAACAAAGACCTGGGCAAAGACTCATGTCTTCCAGGCACTTCAAAACACCAGTAACATAGGTTCCATTTGAATATCTTATGGACAAGGTCAAATTTTATTTCATGTGACCCTCATACTGAAAAATATTCCCCAGAACACATTTTATGTGATAAAAAATGATCAGGTCCAATTTATATCTGTAATTGTAAACTCAGATGAATATTCATATTTATCCCACCTTTATTATTTTTATAAATGACTCAAGGAAATACCCAGCATATCTCTTTCCTCCTATTTTTCCTACAACAACCTTGAGGGTGAATTGGGCTGAGACAAAGTGACTGGTCCAAAGTCACCCAAGTTAGCTTTCAGGGCTAAGGGAGAACTTGAACTCACTGTCTCCTGGTTTTTAGCCAGGTGTCTTAACTACTAGACCAAACTGGCTCTATTTGAAAAAAACAAAACAAAATTGAAACATTTAACGCAAAATTAAATTAAAACATTTGAATTAAATTAAAACATTTAAAATAAAGATTCCCTAAGATGTAGTGGCATCAATGAGGCAAAACTATATTTATACAAGAAAAGTCACTTTAGCCACACTACCTATTCTGTCAAATGTAAATTTCATTTCTTGAATAAATCACAACTAGGTAGCTTTAGACTGCATGTTGGGTGAACTCAGTCCTGTCATTTGTAATCCACAGAACTAAGGAACCCAGACAATGGTAGCTTTTTCCATAAACAGCTAACCATAGTTCAGCATACTGTGTAAGCTCAGAAGACACATAAAAGTCCTCTGGTCTTTTAATTAAGTTAATGAGTTGCCCTAAACTATATTAGTGAACAAATTAATACTGGTCTGAGTAAAAGATCTCCGATTTATAACCGAAATGATTGATTCAACCAACAGATGGCATGGCAATCCGTAGCTGAGCATTTTGAAAACATTTTAGAGCTAATGCATAGTACACAGATAGTCCTTGCCTTACTACCATTTGTTTAGTGAGTGTTCGAAGTTACAAGGGGACCGAAAAAAGTGACTTATGAACGTTTTTCACATTTATGACCACTGAAGCAGCCCCAATCACGTAACCAAAATCCACATGTTTGGCAACTGATTCATATTTATGACTGTTGCAGTCTGCCGGGATCATGTAATCATCTTTTGCAAAGTTCGGACAAGCAAAATCAAGAGGGAGACTAGATTCACTTAACAGGTATGCTATTAATTTAATAACAGCAGTGATTCACTTGACTGTGGCAAGGAAGGTCAAAAAACGAGGCAAAACTCAATAACTGTCTCCCTCCGCAACAGACATTTTGGGCTCAATTGTGATCCTAAGTCGAGGATTACCTGACAGAAAGAGAAATGAAGCCAAATAAGTGAAGAACAGAATTCAAGAAGAAAAACGGATTGCCTTTCTTACGCAAATAAAGCAAGCCCAGGGATTTCGTAGAGTTTGCACATGCGTTCCCGATTTCAATTCTGGGGGGGGGGGAACGAGGGCTTTAGGAAATATCATCCTTCACGTGGGAATCCTTTTCCTCCCTCATCCTTACTTTGCTTTCCTTCGCTCCGCTTCCAAATTATTCAAGAAAACGTTAAAACCGAGTCCACGCCCTCTGACACTAAAGGCTCGCTGCTTTTAATAGGGCTTCTCTTCTTGCATCACGTGGGTTCCTGTTCTCCCACCAATCTCCGAGTGGAATCCAGACGCGCTGCAGTAGTAACTGATACTGAAGTGCTGACATCCATTCGCCTCCTCGAGCCGCCCAGAGGTTGGGGGTCGCCAACCTACTAGCAGGAAGAGCAGGCGGGTCTTCCGTTCTCTGAATTCACCCCTTTCCCCTGACGCTCGTGCCCGGCATGGCTGAGATTGTGGAGTTCTGCGTCCCCTCCGGGAATGATCGGACTCTTCTTGTCTTGGGGCTGGAGTCGGATGCATCGGAGGCAAGTAACGAAGAAGCAGGGTTGGGTTTTCCTCCAACCATCCACCCCCACTTCCGTGTGTGGACATCTTTTCAGAGCTTCCGGGCTCTTTTTCAATGAATCTGTGTCAGCCAGCAAAAGCAGCTATTGCTACAGCTCCGTCCGCTGCTTCACGTTAGAATATTTATTGACAAGGAAGTTCTTTGAGCCTGTGGGAACTGTGTTTGAAAATCGCCTTCTTCCCACCTTAAGCGTTGGGGGCCGTTAGAGCAATCCTGCCTTATCAACATGGGGATCACTGGGTATAGTGGCATTTTGCTGCGTTGCCCCATTGCCGATGGCGAGAGTGAAGGCGAGTTTGAATGCGGTCTAGTAAAACAACAGTACGCTTTGTGCAAGGAGTTGGTCTTTTTTTCAGGCTTCAATTCATTGAACTTATGATACTCTTATAAAATATTTAGGTGCCTAAAATTTGCCGAAGCCAGTTTTCAAATGGTGCATCGGCAAGTAACAATTTTGGAGCATCCATCACTTGCTTTCTAAAAAGCAGTATAGGCCTGGCAGTTCAATCGATAGCTGTTCTTTCTGATACAAGACCGCATCTTAGCATACGGCTGACCCACATATTGTGACAAAAGTTTCCATATCATATTCTATTTAAAGATGAAAAATAAATTCATAAAATGAAATTCAACAGAAGTTAGCTGTTGTCTGAAAACATGGACTTTCATTTACAAGGCTTGATTTTTGTTGCCTCAGACTAAATGGCTATTTTTTGTTCTCTTATTTAACAAAGTTTGTAATGAAACAGTCTTGTTATAAGCACATAATCAAAGCTCTTGGGAAAATGTATTAAGGAAGTAGATGGCTTGGAAACAATGCTCAACGTCTGTTTTATGGCAGGGACTTGCACATACAGTACACAAAACACACCCTAGTTCCATGAGCATTTGGTGGTACTGTATATAGCTAAGCAGGGATGCTGACAGTTGTATCTGTTTTATAAATGATATAGTTCAAAAAGTATTTTCCCATGGCAGCTTACAACAATTTTAAAACACATCTAAAAATTAAAACAGTGTCAACCAACAAGCAAACAATGTCTAATTACCCCACTTCAAAAAAAGAAGACTGAAAGTAATTAAGAGGTTCCACTAGCGTAACTGAGTTGTTGAAATGTTTATATATCAAGAAGTGAAAGAGAAAAAATTATTATATAGGCACTATACAATAGTGGGAAAGAATCCCTAAGCTAGGAAACCACCATTGAGAGAGAACATTATCTTGTGTTCATTGATTAGCAACTTCCATCCCGTTTTCTGGATTTAGGCTTAGTTTATCAATGCTATTGGTATCATACTCTTTTACTGTTTTTCTGCCCACCCAAAAAAATCTTACTTTTAATAAAGGTAGATGGGTTTACAAATAAAAACACTGAACTTTACTGATCTATAGAATTCCAAAGATTCAGGTAGTCTTTGATTTACAAAATCCTATTTAGTGACCATTCGAAGTTACAACAGCACTAAAAAAAAGTAACTTGTGACCATTTTTTACACTTACAATGTTGCAGCATCCCTATGGTGATTTAATCAAAATGTAGTCCTTGGCAGCTGGCTTCTATTTATGACAGTTGTGACAAGCAAAGTCAATGGGGAAGCCAGATTTACTTAACAACCATGTTACTAACTTAATAATTACAGTGAATTGCTTAAGAACTGTAGTAAGAAAGGTTGTAAAATGGGGCATAACTCATTTAACAACTGTCTCACTTAGCAACAAAAGTATTGGACTCAATTGTGGTTGTGAGTTGAGAACTACCTGTACTCCAAAGACTACAGGTATACATAATGCATGTCATCAGCCAGCATGAAAGTGAATCACTATTCAAGGTTTGCCCAATAATGCAAGAATGAGTAGTTTTTAGTTTGCCTTCTGTCCAAGCCTAATCAACTTTCAGGAAAATTGTGACTCTTAGTTGCTCACAACCTACCATCTGAGACCTTTAGCTTTTCACAGATACTGTCTTTTCTAGTAGATTCCTTTATGTGTTTGCCTTTTTTTCCCCTCCAGCATGCTCTATACCTTACCTTCTCTGCCTTTGGACTGCTCCATTCTGTAAGACTCCACAGAAATGTTCCAGTAGCTGGGCCTGGCTATTATGCTTTTGTTAAGTTCTACTCTGCCCGAGATGCCAGCAGGGCACAACAGGCTTGCAATGGGAGGTCACTGTTTCAGAAAACTGCTCTGAAGGTATGTCATTGCATAATCTAAGATCATGGAGTTCACAGCTCATACTAGACCATGATTTGCTTAATGGTGTTTTACACAATAAAACATAACTGAACTTTACAGACCTCTGTGGGTATGTTCATACAACACCTAAGAAACTACACTAATACAATATGTGAACCAGATGCTATAGCTGAAGGTCTTTTAAAGTAATGAATTCCTGCCATTGGATAGCTTTCAGTGATTTGAAGCCTGATTTTATCAAGATCCTGAATTGGACTCAGAAGCAGAGCTAGTTAAAGATTGTATGGTTGGGCACAAAATTTTGATGAACCAATTTTATTAGATACTTGGGAGATTATTTGGGTGAGGAATGTTAAATTCACGCAAGCTCAAAACTTACGGGAAAATTTTTATAAAATGTTTTATAGATGGCACCTTGATCCACAAAAAATGTCTCATATGTATCCAAACCTGCAGCCTAAATGTTGGAGATGTGGCTGTTTGGATGTACTTATTATCATATTTGGTGGTCATGTAAAAGTATTAAAGCTTTTTGGATTAAGATATGGTGGAATATTCAAAGATTTTTTAAAAGAAGGATAAAATTTACTCCACAATTGTTTTTGTTGGGTATTGTTTCTGATTGTGATGAAAAAGAGATTATTTTAACGTTAAACTTAATTACTGCGTCTAGGTTGTTAATAGGGCAATATTGGAAGAAGGAATTTTTGCCTACTTTGCAAGAATGGTTTTTTAAAGTTTCTTACTTAGCGGAAATGGCAAAAATTTTGGTTTTCTTGAAAGATCAATCGCAAGAGAAGTATCTTTCGGTGTGGAAAAGATGGATAAATTTTATACAATATAACTATGATATAAGAAAATATTATCTAGCTTTTAAATAATTTATATAAGTTTAAGATATTATTTAGAAGTGTAATTGTTATTATTCTTTAATTTTTTTATTTTTTTTTCTTTTTTATTTTCTCTTTTGTTTTTCCTCTTTTTGTTTCTTACATATTATGGAGTTAAAGTATTTTACAATTTGTTTATTGAGCGTAATTATATTTGCTTAAGGTTTATTTGGGTTTAAAACTTTTTTTCTTTTAAGATCTAGTTAAGCCTGTATTCAGCTCTGGGAAGAACCGGGGAGGGTTTTGGGGTGGGTTGGGAGGGATTGGGGAAGGGGTTTTTATTGTAAAATTTTAAAAACTTTTAATAAAAAAAAAAGATCCTGAATACTTCTTAGCAGATAATCTAAAACGGGGTGTTGACTTTTTCCTTGGCAGGCAAGTTGCTTGACCCTGCCAAGGGATGGAGTGAACTTTATTTGGAGTAAGTGAATGTCAAGCTTACTAAAGATACCCTGTTCTCTGATCCAATGTGCAAAAGAGTATTCCCCCTGGTATTCCACATATAAAGCAGTCCCATTAATAGTCAGGGCTCATTTCAGTATTGTTGATAATGTTGCATCGCTAGCCTTACATAATTATCTGGAAGACTTTGATCCTGTTGGCCCTGAAGAAGTGACAGAATCTTTGAAGCTTAAAGCATGCCACCTGTATCTTACATCCATCCTTCTCACAGTTGATTAAGGCCTCCCAGAAGATGGTATGTGACTAAGTCCAAGCAGAAGTAAATGCTTCCTTGAGGAAGGAGTGGTTCTGGTTGCATTTAATAATGATGATGTTGGAAGGGACCTTGGAGGTCTTCTAGTCCAACCCCCTGCTCAGGCAGGAAATCCTATATCATTTTAGACAAATGGTTATCCAGTCTCTTCTTAAAAACTTCCAGTGTTGGAGCATTCAAAACTTCTGGAGGCAGGAAATTTCTTCTTAGTTCTAGGTTGCTTCTCTCTTTAGTTAGTTTCCATCCATTGCTTCTTGTCCTGCCTTCAGGTGCTTTGGAGAATAGTTTGACTCCATCTTCTTATTGGAACACTGCTATCATATCACCTTTAGTCCTTCTCTTCATTAAACTAGACATACCCAATTCCAGCAACTGTTCCTTATATGTTTTAGCCTGCAGTCTCCTGATCATCTCAACATCTTTTTTAGATAGTGGTGACCAAAACTGGATGCAATATTCCAAGTGTGGCCTTACCAAAGCATTGTAAAGTGTATTAACGCTTCACATGTTAAGGAGGCAGTGTCCCACTCCTTCCTCAAAAACTGATTTTACTGGGTAATTTTCAGCCTATCTCTAACTTTCCCATTTTAGATACAGTTGTTGAGAAGCTGTTGTGTTATGGCTCCAAAGAGCCCACATTTTAGCAAATTATCTCAGTCTCCTTCAGTCAGGTTTCAGATTGAATGCCAGCACGAAGAAGGCATTGGTTGCACTCCTTAATGACTTCTGATAGATCCTGGATGCAGATGGTATATAATATGTGCATGCTGACCTTCCTTGCTTTTTTGGTAGCCTTCAATACTTCTGTTTTTAAAATTTCTGAAGTATCACAGGATGCTGAGTTGTGACCATAGTCTGTATACAAGCAGTCCAATTGCAGATTTTGGGGACACATACAGCCTTGGGATTGAAATGATCAGCTGTCTTAGAATATAAAATACTACAGTATCAAGATGCATTGGCTAAAAATAATATAGGTTGAAATTCAGCATATCTGAAGACAACCAATTCAGGTTAGGTTTTGTCATGGAATGGTGTTTTGTTTTATCAGTTTTTATATTGTTAACAGTTTTCCTTCCAATTCCTATATGTTTTATTGAAAAATATTAATAAATATTTATGAAAAGCAAAAAATAGCATAAAAATATGTCTATCTATTTTACCTATTTGTAAAAGACAGGAAAATACATGTATGGATTAGTATCTTTCCTGTTAAGTTCTTAGTAAGACTGAAATCCAGTTTTTGATGACTTTATTTCTTTTGGGAGAAAATGGGGAGTTCTGTACATCCCTCTAATGAGATATGGGATTCTTCTTTTTCAGATTTGCATTTGTACCAGACAGAGGGCTCTTACAAAGCAAACATTACCTTTGAACATTCACAAAAGCCAAGAATTAGCTAATTACTACCTTGGTTTCAATGGTTGGTCCAGTCGCATCATCACTGTAAGAATGACTTAGGCTTTCATTTTGTTTCTTATTTTTCTATTTTCATAAGGATGATAAGATTAAATATAGCAATAGCATATGCCACTTTGTGGTGTTTGATAGCACTCTCTGAGTAATTTACAATGTGAGCATATTGCCTCCAACAATCTGGGTCCTCATTTTACTTTTTGATACATAATTTAAATGTTCATTTTCTACTTACAGAACTGTAATGTTCTAAGAAGTGTTTGGAGAAAAATATTAATTCAGGCAAATCTATATTGGTAGTTGTACTTCTTCATCTCTGGATGTTTATTTATTTTCTTATTATGGCCGGCTTATTTATTTATCCATTTAGATATTTATTCATTTAGATTTGCTTGCTGCCCATCTTATCACAGAGTAACTTTTGGCGGCTTGCAATGTTAAAAAGGATAAAACATGCCTATAATATAAATACAATACTATAAAAGTACAAATGATCAACTAACTAAAAGATAGAGAGAGAGCAGGATGAGCAGGGAGATTGGTTATTAAGAATCACCAGCATGACATTCCCCTATTGGAGCCCCAAGCTAACTGGCAGAGCCAGCTTTTGGACTTTTACAGAACCTCAGGAGGGTGGGAACCGACCTCGCTCTAAGGGGCAAGATGTTCCAAAAAGCAACGGTGATGGCAGAGAAGGCTCTTCTGGACCCCAACAGCCAGCATACCCTGGATAAAGGGGCCCACAGCATGCCTTCTCTGCTACCACGGGTGGGGCAGACCAATCCTGTTGCAATAGACCAGAGGTAGGCAACCTTGGCCTACCTCTGGCTCAGGAATTCTGGGAGTTGAAGTCCACGAGTCATAAAAGAGCCAAGGTTGCCTACCCCTGCAATAGACAATTCCTCAAGTATCCTGGACCCATGCCTTGAAGGGCTTTAAAGGTGATTATTGCCATCTTGAATTGCAGTCAGAAGCAAACTAGCAGTAATGCAGTTCACAAAGCAGTGGTGTAACAAGGACCACTCTAAGCCCAAAAGGCTTATCCTTCCTTATAAACATTCATTTTTTTCTTCAATTTTGTTCATTGTTTGGATCTGGTGTGGGCCCTGTAGTCCTTTTCTCTCCTGAGGAAAGGGATAAGAACTACTCAGAAGGTGTTTGGGTTTTTTTTAAACACCTGCCTGCCTTGAATTCCAGAGGTCAGGGGAACAGTCTTCCTTTTGTTGTAGCTGTTTCTGACTTGTCCTAGACTGTATCTCTATGTGAGAGACTAGGTGCTTCTTGTTCCATGAGTATAGGGAGCTGCCAGGATGCAAGCAAAACCAAAACTAAACTCCTGGTTTAGAACACTAATCTACAGAATGCAAATATTCTGCAATGGAATTACGGGAAGGGGAAGGGAGAAGAACCATTGTAGGATGGATAAAGGCATAGGCTCTTGTTTTCCCTTCTATATATTCCCTGCATAATGGAACAGCTGCAGAATATACCTGGCTTTGAAGATAATGAGAAAAAAGAAAGAGGAACTTTACCCAGGCACCATCATTCAAAGTATCTTTGTGTGCAAGAATTAAACATCCCTCATTATGGGATTTATACCAGAGGGATTGGAGTGGCTGAACTTCAGGTGAACCCCAATCAAGGTAACACGGGAATGGAGAGGGTAGTGGAGGCTGGAGTGATGTACCCAAAGCAAAATAAAAGTAATACTATCACTTACAGTGCAGTCATAAATAGGTTTCCTACTTGGATGGGGTTTTGTTCTCCATCAAAAATCACATTTGAGGATGATTCTTGATGGAGGGCTACTAGGGACTTAAATGACATTTCCATTCCAATAAAAAGCACAACTGTCTTTAGTATATATTAAGTTGTTATGCAATGTTAAATGTGGATTGAGCCTGTGGGTTGGAGGAATAGCTCCTAAGAATGGTGAGAATCTGCAGCAAGTTAAAAAAGGGCTAAATAGTCTACTAGATGTAGTTTTCTAGAGTAGTCTCCCTTAGCCAGGTATCTTCCAGCTATTTTGGGGGACAATTACCTGAGGTCCCATCTAGCTTGGAAAGTCTATGAGCTTGTAGAACATTGGAATCACTGGGGCAGTGAGGTTAGTGCTAACCTGATTGAAGAAAGCTTGATTGTAGATAGACGGAAATGTGCTCCATTATATTCATGCCACATTTCCTTTGAGAAATCCCACAATTAAAAAAAACATAAGATTGTGAGTTCTGGTCTTTCCTTAGGCATACATCTGGCTCAGTAACTTTCAGCTGGTCACTCTTTCAGCCCAACTCACTTCACAAAACCATTGTAAGGAAATGTTACATACACCACCTTGATGGGATATAGTCACCATCCTCATTATCCTTGAAGTTTCATAGCCACATACTGCTCGAGTGCACTATGCTCCAGACTTAAATCTACTACAGTGGTAAAAGGCTATTAAATCAGTGTTTGCCGCATAAAATGACTAGTTAAATAAAATATAAAGAGACCAATTTTTATTAACTTCATTTATTTTCTTATGTCAAATAAAGTTTTTTATATATTGAATCTGAATTAAATTTGAAGTAGCTATTGTGTCAGAACTACCTTTTTTGCAAGGCTGACATTGATTCAAAAATGTTCAGCAGTACTTGAATAGTGATGAATATATTATTGCTAAGATTTATAAAATGTTATTGAATTGGGAAAGTGATCATGTAAAACATGATTCAGTGGGCAAGGAACTTTGGGAATAATGTGATACTTGGACAGTGGGAGAATATGTGAATGAAAGGTTTAAAATTCACATTAAACTATAATTTAAAAGAAAATTTCTATAAGATGATGTATTGCTGGTATTTAACACCAGACAAGCTATCTAACTATATAAAGATATTTTAAGTGAATATTGGAAATGTAAATGTAAATAAGGGACCTTTTACCATTTATGGTGGACATGCGATAAAGCAAAGAAATATTGGAGTAGGATTCATATTCTAATATAGAAAATTCTTAAAGTGAATATAAAGATAAAACCAGAAACTTTTTGGGGGGGCTTAATGGAAAAAGACTTGGGGAAAAAAATGGAATTCCGATCTTATATATGTTGATAGTAGCAAGACTGCTCTATGCACAAAAATAGAAGAACATTTCGATACCCACCATGGACGAATGGCTACCAAAATTGATGGAGTTAGCAGAGATGGCTAAATTGACCACTTTGATCAAAGTAAAGAATATAAGTACTTTTGCTTCTGCTTGGAAACCACTTCTGGACTTTGTACTTGAGGTGGAAAAAAGTGAAATTTTGATTTTGGGTTTTACTGATTAGATTGATTTGCTGTTATAGAAATGGCTAGTTTATTTTATTATGGAAAAATAAAAAGTTGAGGTCCGGTATTAATGTCTTATGCTACCGCAATAGAGGGAGTTGCTTTTTTTTTCTTTTCCCCTTCTTCCACACTTTTTTCTTCCCCTTCCCCCCCCCCATTTGTTTCCTACTACTTGCTTTTGTATTTTTGTATTTTATACTATAAGCTACTAAAAAATAAAAATTAAAAAAAATGTTCAGCAGAGCTTGAGCTACAAAAAAAATTGAATCAATTTGTTATTTTGGATTTATGTCTTTCAGAGTTTCTGATGGCCACCCGCAATGCTCAGAAGTTTGCAGTGCAACAGGCACTCTCGGATGCATTTCGGAAAATACTCTTCATAATCCTAGGCAAGACCATCAACTTTCCTTATAATTTCTTCTTCCATACTTTTCTCCATCTCCCAGCCAAGAAAATGGTTGAATATCTGTATAATTAAATATACATAAGCTATTTATTGGCTCTAAGGCTCCTGGCTTAATGTAATTTGCTATCCTTTTGTCAGTTTGAATAATAAATTGCAAATGAAAACGGAAGTATTTTCCCATGAAGTGTTCTTGAAAGCCTTCCTGTAATAAAGAGAAGCAAGAATGCAAAGCCAAGGCTCATTGTATTCTTATTCATTATACTAAATTGTAGTGAAGCAATGTTTTACTTATTTTGTACACACTTTCTCTAAAATCTCTTTCATCTGGCTTCAATTGTTCATGTCGCCTAATGTAGCACTTTCAACATCCAGATGAGTTGCATAAAAGCTTCCGTTGTTCCAGTTAGCTACTGGCAAATTGGAGGGTGCAATGACTTAACATATTCTCATTGTTGTGAACACATTTATCTGCTTTGTACTTTGACTTTTTTCTGCTCAATGTATTCAGTTTCATGCTTCCATATATCCTTTCTCTGCCTTGTTGTTTTTCTATTTGCCCTCACAGAAACTTTGTTTTTATTCACGTCAATAATCATAAAATAACTCTATCCCCTGGTTTTTCATTTCTGTCATGTTTCCTGCATCACTGGAAATCCTGATTCATTTTGTTGGTACATTTACATTGCTGATATTCATGCTCACACCAATATTTTCCAGTTGACCTTTCTTTTCACTAAATATCCCATTTCTGGAACACCTTACTGTTGATTGTTATTGAGAACCAACTTTAGCCAAAGCTCAGGAGATTCTGCCCACAAATCTCTCATATCCCATCCAAATTAATCTTAAATCTTACTTTCAATCAGATTATAAATGGATTATAGTTATTGATTATAAGCACTAGCACTTTAGAAATAATAAAAAAATATTATAAATTTTAGTTCAAAAATCCTTAATTGAGAATCTATAAAATCCTAAATAAATTTCAGTCATGTTTCAAAATCTGTATTCATTTGTTTACGGTTGATTTGTTGGCCTTATTTTTGATTGCTTGTTTCAGAAAATGGGAAGTTGGCAGTGGAGTACAACTATCCTGAGAAAGACCTCATTGACTGTGTATCAGAAGACGAACTCAGGGGTCTCATTCAGGTAAACAAGCCTTTTTCCTAATGCATTTGCATGCCCTCAAATTGCTTCTTTTTTATTAATTTATTTCTTTTATGAACAAGAATAAAATACAAAACAGAAAAATGAACATCCAACACTAATGAGAAAAAAAAATTGTGTAGAACCTTCCCTCCCCATGTTAAATAGCTCTAACCTTGAACATAAAAAAATCTACCTGGCTGAATGCTGAAAAGTAAAGTTAAAAAAAACCCGTTAAGTTCTCCCCTTACATAACAGATTTCCCATCCTTATTTAACAAAAAATGCTACGGTATATTAAATAAACAAATATTCCAGATGAGTTGATCTCTGTCTAATAATCAAATCAATCCAACATATAATCATAATATATATGTAAAAAAGGCCAAACATTATACTAATCTTCAAATCTTTCTGATAATCTTCTTTTATTGTATTTAACACATAAAAAGTCCACCAACGGCTTCCAGTCCCTTGGAAAGTTGTCTAGTCAATTGTCCATCCAGTTAATTTTGCCATCTCTGCTAATTCAGTCAATTTTAAAATCCATTCTTTAACAATCAATATCTCTTTTCCTTTCTAGTGTTTAGCAAGTCCAATCCTTGCAACAGTCACCATGTAAAGAAATAACATCCCAAAATGTTTTGTAACTGATTTATGCATAATAGCTACAAGAAAAGTTTCATGTTTCATTAGTATTTGTATCTTAAATATTTTCAGCATTATCATTATTATGTTAATCCAGTATGATCTAACATGTTTACAAGACCAACACATATGATAAAATGTGCCTGTATTTTGTTGACGTTTCCAACACTTGTTAGAGATTCCTCTATACTTTTTCACTATTCTGTCTAGGGTCAAATACCAATGATACATCATTTTTATAAAAAATTCCTTTCAAATTGTAACTCAAAATAATTTTAAACAATTAGTCCATACATTATCTCCTTTATCCAGTATTAGGTTATAACCCAATTTTTTTGCCCACTTTCCCATACAATCTTTGACAAATTCATCTTCCAGATTCATCTTAAGTAATCATTTTATATACTTTAGCAATCAGCTAGTCATCTCCATAATATAAATTGATATCTAATTCAACTACAACAAAAAACAACTCAATGTATCAAGTTTAAATCTTTCAAAAAAATCTATAATAATTAAACCAATCACAAACAAATCCTTCACTTACTAATTCTTCTCTTGTTTTTATCTTAAGTTCTTCTTCTTCAAATGTCAATAAATCCTGATATGTCATCCATTTGCATTCCAATAACATCTCTTTTCTATGTAGAACTTCATGGGATGATAGCCAATCTTTTATATTTCCACCATACAGGCCCAATTGATTACCTAATGATATGATTCTTAAAACCAAGGTTAACTTTTACTTTGTCATAACCACAAATAAGCATACCAGCCAAATTTTAAATCACCTTCAAGGTCCAACAATCTTAGGTTGTTCAAATTTATGCAGTCTTTTAACCATTCCAAACAACAAACAACATAATCCTTCAACTTGCTTTCAATTAACAACCTCATCTCTTGGCATCATAAGCGTGTGGAGGCTGAAAGGAATGAATATAAGTAGTTATGCCTCAAGCATTTTAGAATGCAGAATGCAATTGTTACTGGGGCATTTATATCAGTTTATCAGACTTGGACCAAGGGGACAAGTGGTCTGGAAACTAGAGGTGCTACAGTGTATAACAGGTCACTCATCAGCTCTTCTTAACAATTTAAGCTGGAACTTCAGGACTGCTGATGTCCCAGGCTTGAAGGATTGTGAGTGGTGAATTCTTGAGAAGAATTGTTTCTAATTTAATTAGCATCCCTAGAAGCACAGAGTGCAAGCATCTCATCTATAAGCTTCTCTGTACAATCCCTATTACCATGTACAAGACAGAATAGAAAGAAGTGCTGTTGAAAGGACTAACCTTTGCAAATCATTTTCCAAGAATGCCAAGTAATGTATAAATGTGTCCAATCTTTAAAATGTTCTTTGGCTATCTTTCTTGCCCATAGGCTCTATATTCATTTCAAATAGAGTATGAAAAAACTCTGGAATTTATGCATATTTGACAAGCTGTGATCACTCTGTTGGCAGTCCTCTTAGAAAACATACAAAGGTATAGATTGGAAATTCTGGAAACTGCAGCCTAACTTATCTGAAAGCAATCTAGTTGGCAAGAGCCATTTTAAGCAAAATTATGAAGCCATGATAGCTAAGTATGGACTTTATGTATTTAGAAGAAAAATATCACTAAGCAACATATGCTGGGGACTAATGAATAAATGGGAATAGTTGTCACCCTTAACATTTCTCAACCTGAAGTCCTCCAGATATGTAAGATACAATTCTGATAATCCTGGTAAAATAAGAATGGAAGCTTAACAAAAGCAGAGAAGATTGATCCTTATCAAATTTTCTGAGTTTCTTAGAAAACATCTGTCCAACCTCTCGTGAAACTCCCTATAATTAGCTGCACTTTGATCTAAAGCATAAAGCTATTCTTCCTTTTCAAAGATGGAATTGTCTTCGTATCTGAGCTAGATTTTTTTCAATTGATTGGAATAGGGCAGTGGTCCCAACCCCCGGGCCACAGCCCACTACCAGGCCTTAACCCGTTTGGAACCGGGCTGTGGAAGTGACAGGTATATACATTCGCACTTGTCCGAGCAATGGATGAGTGCATTTGCAAATGGAGTTGCATGTGCACGCTTGCCAGCTGCTTGCACAGAACCACCTCTTTTCTCCCCCTCCCTACCAATCCGCAATTTGGAAAGGTTGGGAAACTCTGGAATTTTGTTGTTAGTTGCGAAGTCATCTCCAACCCATCGCGACCCCATGGACAATGTTCCTCCAGGCCTTCCGGTCTTCTACCATCTTCTGGAGTCCATTTAAGCTCACGCCTACTGCTTCAGTGACTCCATCCAGCCACCTCATTCTCCATCGTCCCATTCTTCTATTGCCCTCAATCTTTCCCAGCATTAGGCTCTTCTCCAGTGAGTCCTTCCTTCTCATTAGGTGGCCAAAGTACTTGAGTTTCAACTTCAGGATCTGGCCTTCTAAAGAGCAATCAGGGTTGATCTCTAGGACTGACTGGTTTGATCACCTTGCAGTCCAGGGGACTCGCAGGAGTCTTCTCCAGCACCATAGTTCAGAGGCCTCAATTCTTTGGCGCTCAGCCTTTCTTATGGTCCAATTTTCACAGCCATACATTGCAACTGGAAAAACCATGGTCTTGACTATACGTACTGTTGTTGGCAGGGTGATGTCTCTGCTTTTAGTATGCTGTCTAGATTTGCCATAGCTTTCCTCCCCAGGAGCAAGCGTCTTTTAATTTCTTGGCTGCAGTCCCCATCTGCGATGATCTTGGAGCCCAGGAAGACAAAATTTGTCACTACTTCCATTTCTTTCCCATCTATTTGCCAGGAATTGAGAAGGCCGGATGCCATGATCTAGGTTTTCTTAATTTTGAGTTTCAAACCAACTTTTGCACTCTCCTTCTTCACCCCATCAAGAAGCTCTTTAGTTCCTCTTCATTTTCTGCCATTAGAGTGGTATCATCTGCATATCTTAGGTTGTTGATATTTCTCCCGGCAATCTTAATTCCAACTTTTGATTCATCTAGCCCTGCCTTTCTCATGATGTGCTCTGCATATAAGTTAAATAGGCAGGGCAACAGAATACAGCCTTACCGGATTCCTTTCCCAATTTTGAACCAATCAGTGGTTCCGTGTCCAGTTCTCACTGTTGCTTCTTGACCCGCATATAGGTTTCTTAAGAGACAAATAAGATGGTTTGGTACTCCCATCTTTTTAAGAACTTGCCACAATTTGTTGTGATCCACACAATCAAAGGCTTTAGCATAGTCAATGAAGCAGAAGTAGATGTTTTTCTGGAACTCCCTAGCTTTCTCCATGATCCAGCATATGTTGGCAATTTGATCTCTAGTTCCTCTGGCTCTTCGAAATCCTGCCTGTACTTCTGGAAGTTCTTGATCCACATACTGCTGGAGTCTAGCTTGTAGGATTTTAAGCATAACTTTACTTGCATGTGAAATGAGTGCAATGTTGCAATAGTTTGAACATTCTTTGGCATTGCCTTTCTTTGGAATTGGAATGTAAACTGATCTTTTCCAAACCTGTGGCCACTGTTGAGTTTTAACTAGCAAAAAGAGCAAAAGAAATAGTGAATGCATGCATGCATACACAAAAATATTTCAAATGTCCTAGTTGCTTAGCCAGCATGTAAGCATGACTAAAAGTGACCAATACAGAGCAGGACAAAGCATATGATCCAGAGGATCAGCTTAGGTATACTATTTCCCAAAGATAAGAAAAATAAGACTACCTTCATCATGTACTATTATCCAGATATTATGGGATTTGTTGGAGCTAAATCTGCAGAGCTATAATAGAACATTTGAGTAAGCAGTTGGTCTTTTAGAATGTGTTTGCACTGTTAAATCATGATTTTTAAGTAGTATTTGCAGAGTAGACTAAGTCATGGTTTGTTTAGTTGTAATTGTTGACTACTGTACAGTTGGCTGGGTACAGTAATTGCATCTGCTACAATTGTTAAAGTAGATGGCTTGATTCACATACTAAAACAATTACAAAAGGCTTTATATGATATCTTAAGCAGATTTTATCCGAAAGATGGAGAATTTTGGGTTAACATAAGTAACATCCTATGTCAATCCTAGAGATCCTTGTGAAAATTTAGAGGAAAAGACAGTTGCTTGGAAATGATATGAAATTGTATGTAAAAGGAGCCCATTCTCATGGTTTAGGGCAGGGGTAGGCAACCTTGGCTCTGTTATTACTCGTGGACTTCAACTCCGCTGGCTCAGGAATTCTGGGAGTTGAAGTCCACAAGTCATAAAAGAGCCACGGTTGCCTACCCCTGGTTTAGGACTTCTGTTAAACTATGCAGAAAGCATCTAAGATATTGGAATTGTTCAAAATGTACTGTATTAAAAATCTGTGAGAATTAAAGAATTCAGCCTGTGCCAATTATCCTTGTAAATTATTAAGGTATTTCCTTCCCTCTCTTCCCAGGTAACTGAATTGTCATTTTTACAGCTGGACCCTCTGGGAGAAGAAGAGGTCTTGTGCAATTTTAACATGGATGGAGAATAGCAGATTATGGACACCGATTCTGTTTTTTTCTTACTGATCTGGAAGGGTGTCCTGTCCTGTCCATTATCCATCCTGGAAATTGGTTACCCTTGTTTTTAGAGCATTTGGGTGATGAAGCTACGAAATGCAAGCTATCGATCAGAAGATAATACTCTTCCAAGAAAAAAACTGATTACCTATTTATAATCAGTGATGGTTGGAAAGGCAGTATTATTTTTCTGGTTTTTATATTTTTCTAATAAATGGCTTACTGATAGAAAATATGACTTGACTATATATCTTGTTTCATATGCAGTAAATGTTTTCAACAAATTGGATAGCAGTTTTCTATTATAAATATCCAATTATTGTCTTCCACCCCCAAATCACTGGAAGTGAGGGAATGGGCCAGTAAAAATAGAACCATTGAAAAGAAAGAAAGAAGCAAGAGACAACTTTTTCCCTTTCTTTTCCAGTTACTATTTCCTTTTCTCTCTCAAGTTTTTACCTCAGCTTTCTCTCTAGTGCAGCTCCTACTCATCCTCATCTCATTCCACCCTATTGTATTCTTGTCAGAAGTAAGGAAAAATGTCTGGGGGTGCTATGGTCAGTATGCTTGTAAGAGAGAGAGAGAGAGAGAGGTTTCTATATGTAAGAATAGTCAGTGGATATTGATTGAGATCAGAATGTTATAAATGGGACCATACTATTTTACAGACAAGAAATTTAAATTGGTTATTAAATAAAATAATTATTTTTGTGCTGCATCCTCCCTTTTCTTCAAAAGTAGATTTTGGAGGGCTGTGTGTATCAATAGCCATAGCAAATCACTCGCAAAATGATGTGATAATTTAATCACCCCAAAGCCTCCAGCAATCATTTACTGCTTTTCAGTTTAACTCTTCTTTGAAAAAGTCTTTTTATAGAAATCAGGCTTATGTCTCTGATTAAAATCAAGTTGTTCTGGACAGCAATTTAACTTATTTGGGATGATTTTTTGTTGTTTGTCACTTTTAACATTCTCAAGGTTTGTTTTTAGATTTACTATGGGTATTGTAAATTATCCCACTGATAGTACTCATCTAAGCCTCCAAGAATTGGGCTGCTATGATACAAATGCAATAAATAAATTAGGTGCAAAAGAAGAAAGCTACATGTTGCACATGAAGTTTCTGTTTATAATTTATCTTCCCTTCTGAGAATGATTATGTAGTATTGCAGGCTAACTTTGTGCATAGTCTGGAGTTCAGTCCTGATGGGCTCAAGGTTGACTCAGCCTTCCATCCTTCTGAGGTTGGTAAAATGAGGACTAGATGATTGGGGGCAATATGCTGACATTGTAAAGTCAGAATGCTGTATAGTACTGTGGGGCAGTATATAGGTCTAAGTGCTAGTACCCTCCTTCCTCCACTAATCCCCTTTATTTCGAGCTTTAGATAATTTGCAGTGATGTCTTTTATTAGCTGTAGAATGCTAGCCAGGTCTTACAATCTGATTTTCCACTTGAAATATACGGTATTCTCCACTGTGGCTCCGACCCCAAAAAATTAATCACAAATATCTGAGTGATATCATGAAATCAACTCATTATCTATAAAAGAGACCCCTACCTATATTGCCATGGTTCTGGCAATTCTATGATGTCAGGAATCATGATAAAATGATGTCACAACAAATGGAGCCCTTGGAATGCAGTAGCCTTTACCACCAGCAGCCTCATTGTGCAGCCTCCATTTGGAATGATGTGGATGTGGTTGCTTGGTAACTACATAGAGTCACTTCCAAGGCTGGATGCCATTTTCCAAGGCATCCTTTACTGGGGCACATGAGAAAGATGGGACAGGTTGCGGCCTCCGCTACCCTCCTTTTCTTCCTTGGAACTCTATTGATGCCTATTAAACAGTTGGATGCAGCGATACAGCCGTGCCCAGCCTCATGCCATTGTACGTTAAAAATCCTCAACTGCAGCAGGACTACCAATTTTCCTAATCTCGACCATGTGCCTGTTCCGGAGCCATTCAGTCATCCCTATGTTTTTGTCATGCTGTGAGTATTTAAAACTTGGGGGAAGGCCACTTTAAGAGAAGGAAATTTTTGTTACAAGTGAGAGGAAAATGGGGCACAATATTCTCAGGTACAATAAGCATAAAGGTGGAAAGTTGTATATCCTGAAATGTATAGGGGTTATTCATAATGTTTGTTTTGGTAGGTGGTTTGGTAAAGTTAGCCATTAGTTTGTAAACTATATTTTAGGATTTGATTGTCGCAAAATCAGTTAAGCATTTTTGTTTCATGTTTTGACTTGGGTTTTGTGCAATATGTGGACTAAATCATAGATATGCTTTAAATATTGCATAATGGGGATTGTATTTTATTTGGCCCTTCATGTTATGTGAAGTCAATCAGAGAAGCTGGTAACTATATATCTGGTTTATATACCATGTATTAGATGTGAACTGTCTGGTTTAATATGTATGGAAATTTTTAGATACAATGTCATGGCTGTCCCAAACGTGTATTTTTCAAAAGGCAGCTGGACTTTCTTTTTTGGGGGGGGGGGATGTTGGGTTTTTCCTTTGTTTTTTTCTGGTTTAATAATTGTTTTGCTATCCCCTTCCCTTAGCCAAAAGTAATATCCAGAGGCCAGGATATATATATTTTTTAGTTTATATATCTTAAAGGTTACCTTACTCTAAATGGTGGTGTGACTTTGGGCCAGCCATTCTCTTTCAGCCCTAGGAAGAAAGTTATGGCAAACCACTTCCTAAATCCTGCCAAGAAAATTGCAGGTACTAGTACAGGCAGTCATTAATGACTTGAAGACATACAAAAACAAGGGGTAGCAACCAGTTTGATGTTTGTTTGTTTGTTACAAAGGGCAGTGGCAGTATTACAATTTGTTACATTACAGCCTCAATCATCCCCATTTAACATGGGTTTTCTAATTGCAGATATAGGAAATGTGATCAATAGCTCTGGAAGCCTAATAACTCTTTAGTTCAAAATATCTGGAGAGGACCTAGCTCAAAAGTTAATCTGAAACTGAAGTAGATATTTATTCTGAACACTGCACCCAGATGGGCATAAAATAGACCTTTGGATTCATTATTAACATACTCAAAGATTATATTTCAGATTAGGCAAAGAAGTTTATTAGAAAAGCCAAAGGCACTTTTTTTAAAAAAAAAATTACAGCTTATCAAATAATAAAAAATAATAATCAAATTTCAGGAAATGTGTTCATCTATATTACTTAGAAACATCTGCCTATATATTTATATAAAAATCATCAATGTAGACTCAGAAAGGAGTATCAATACATATTAGAAGGAGGTGACAAAATAATAAAACAACTTCATCTATTTTTATTATATAAAAGCCAGTTTAATACAATGGCTATAGGTCTGGCCTAGAAATCATTAAATTCTGATTTCTAGCCACCCTTAGGCACGAAAGGCAACTTCCAATTCTATTGAATTCTATTCTATTCTATTGTATCTAGAAATTTGGAAATTCATGCGATGATAAAGAAGATGAAGCCATAGTTCCAACATATTTTGACCAAGCCTGCTGTATTTTCATAAGAATATAGCAAAACAACAAGCATAACTGTATAATATGGGTCTCAGAAAAATTATTATGTTCCCAATTTTCAGTTTAGTTTAATGTTTGGTTTGTTTTTTAGCAGAAAGGTCAAGGCAGCTCTTTGCCCCAATGTAGAGCCAGGTCAAGAAATAGCATAAGATCAGTTTCTTCCTAATGTTTCATTTTAAGGTCTACTTATAGGTAACTTGTGACTTTCCAGAGGTGACTGAACTGCAACTGTCAGCATCATCCCTGTTGTTTGTAAGGGTTAGAGCTGCCAGATCACAAATTCACCACAACAAGATGAGAATGTGTCTAAGGAGAAACACATCTGAAGCCCCTTTTCTGCTTTTCTTTAAATACCTGTGGCTGTCCCTGAGAAGGTTCTGTAGTGGTTTGAGTTGTACCATTTCCTTTTCAGATGTATCTCCATTTAGTGTGTAAGACTAATGTGGTATAAAAGAACACAAAGCTTATTTCAAGACATTCTTGCCTGGGAGTATCCATTTGAACTGTATTCTCCTATATTCATTTTTCCCTCCAGGGATTTTACTGGAAACAATTTTTTCCATGAATAAACGGGTGTGGTGGGCCTATCCTTGGACTGAATACTTGTGAGTATACTCTCATATTCATCCTATGTAACTAACATGGAAGAAATATCCATTTCTATCCCCTTTATTGTGACCTGGGCTTACGTCATCCTTAAGGTAGCTGGATGCAAAGGGGGAATGCTCCTTGTCCACTTTGATGATTACTATGCATCACAAGTGCCTCACCACTGCAAATAAACTAGTGAAATAGACAGTATGGTGTCCACCTTCCACCACAATGAAAGGCTGCAATTTTGTCTATATGTTTTTCTAAATTTTCTTCCATCTCTCTAGGATTCTCAAGAACAATCATTTGCATAGACTGGATAATACGTCTCTAGATGGCTTGCTTTCACTCACACATCTGTAAGTTTCTAACCTTAGCAGTGTCTTACTTGCTATCTTCCAAAGGACTGTCCCACTTTTAAATTTAGTCAAACTCCTAATCAAGTTTCTAATAAGTAGGGCATACAATTTTAAAACTTTCTCTTTATTCCTATGATTTCTCTGGGGTTGGGTCTTCCCTTTTGCAGAAGTGATTTCCTTCCTTGCATTTGAAGCTGCATTCCTGGCTCTCACTGGAAATGATTGCCTCGTCTGCTTTCCTGATACTGAAATTGCTCAGTAGTGATAGGCTGGCATTCCTGGGTGAAGAAGCCAAAAGGCAGAAGTGTCCAGATGTCCTCCCCAATGAGCACAGAGACAGGGAGGGAAATTAGATGTATTAAAATTATTATTTTTGTGCAGAGGGTGAATCAGTGTGAATGTAGGCATTGACCAAAGAAGACAGGATGAGAAAAGACACTGAATTGACCAGTGAATGGATGGTGGTTGGCTGAGAGTTCTGTGTTCAGTTCAATTACTAATCAAACCAGGCCAACATTCATTAGCTCTTCTTTACAATTTCTATAATCTTACATGCCTATAATTATATTATCTTGGTATTGAAAATAGTCAAAACAGTCCAAATCAGCCTTAGGTTAACAGAATCAGGAAGGCTGACAGTTAAAAGGTTTGGTGTTCTAGAATTATCTTCATCCTTCTAGCAAAGTTAATTTGAACTGAATCAGCATCTGCCAGCACTGGACATACTTTTAAGTGCTGATTATTCAGTCAAGCTCTATTCTAGGAGATGTAACATTGTGAGAATGTTTTGCAATAGCTACACTCCTTGCTGCAAAAACCACAAGAATTTGTGGGAAATAACACTCCATTAGCATTAGCTTTTGGGGTTTGCGCCTTTCATAAGTACATTTTTTCCCCCAGAAATGGAGTATGGGTGGGGGCCTTGAGGACTATACTCTGGTGAGAGCTTAAAATAAAATAAGATAACCTTTATTGTCATTTTTTACTGTGGGCACAATGGCCCACATTAAAAATGAAATTCTGTTGCCTGTTCTCAAAAATGTACATATACATAACACACATATCAACATACTATATACACCATATGTATATACCTACATCCTTACATATAAATACATAAAAATATTAATCATTGTCCATCTTGAATACATAGCGAAAAGAGGAAGCTTGAGAGTTCATAAAGTTAATACTGTTTGGACAAAACTATGACTTATTCTGGATGTTCTGCTTCGGATACAACAAAGTCTCCTCCCAGAAGGAAACAAGGAAAACGGGTCGTGAAGAGGATGTGTAGTGTCCCAGACAATCTTACGGACCCTGCTCAAGCAACACTTATATGCTGTGTCCTGAATAGAAGGGAGGGAACTGCCAATAATCTTTTCTGCCGTCCTCACCACTCTTCACTGCCTTCCTGTCTGAAGCAGTGATACTTCCAAACCAGACTGCAAGGCAAAATGACAGGATACTCTCGACCGTCCCTCTATAGAAAGTTGTAAGGATAGGGGAAGATTTTTCTCATGCAACACAGAAAATTCAGGTGCTACCGTGCCCGCTTCACCAGTGTCTCACTGTTGAGCAACCAAGCCAGCCTATTCGTTAGCTACACACCCAGAAATGTAATGCTGGTAACCATCTCTACAGGTAAATCATTAATATACAGAAGAGTATGGCTGTGCCTGCCTTTTCTGAAATCTATAACGATCTCTTTAGTTTTTCCAGCATTTAAACTAGGCTGTTTTTTTATACCAGTTCACCTGACTCTACTTCCTTGCAGTAAGCTGTCTCATTGTCATCTTGAATAAGGCCCACTACTGTTGTATCATCTTCATATTTCACAATACGGTTGGTGGCAAACCTGACACAACAGTCAGGGGTCCACATGCTGAACAGCAGCAGAGTTAGGACGCAGCCCTAAGGAGAACCTGTTCTCAAGAAAATGTTGTTAGAAATATTAGTCCCAACTCGCACATACTGGGGCCTGTAAATAAGAAAATCAAGAATCCAGTTGCACAAAGGAATATTAAAGCCTAAAAGGCCCAGTTTGTCTACTAGATGCTGAGGAATGATTTCATTAAATGCTGAACTGAAGTCGACAAACAGCATTCACACATGAGTATTTATTTTAAGTGCTCCAAGCTCAGATAGAGAAGAGAAGAAATAACATCCTCTGTAGAGCAATTTGGTCAGTAAGCAAACTGAAGCAAGTCAAATGGTGGCAGGAGACTAGATACAATAATGTCCTTTATCAGCCTCTCAAAACATTTCATAATGATGGTTGTAAATGCAACTAGATAGTTGAGATCTGTAACTGTAGACTTTTTTGGCACTGGCAAAATATAATGGAGCCACTGCTGCAATGAGAGATTGAAAATATCTGTAAGAAAGCAAGCCAGCTCATCTGCACATTCCCTAAGAACACATCCAGGGATATTATCTGGGCCTGCTGCCTTCCAGATGTTAACTTTCTGCAATGTTCTCTGGACAGAGGTAACATCAAAGCTAAGCACTTGCTCGTCAGGATGAGGCACAACTTGCACGGGTGCTATTTGATGCCTCAAATCTTCCAAAAACTCTGTTTAGTTCATTTAAGAAGTCTGTTACTCTTGCGTCTTCATGGAGCTACCTTATAATCTCTGATGGTTTGTATTCCTTGCTACATGCTGTCATGGTTCCGATAGATGAAACCCATCAAAAGAACTCCAAGGCAAAATTCTTCCTCAAAGAACATTTTATTTGGGGAAACAAAGTATCGGCACTACATAGTTGAACCCAAAAACTAAATTCCCTTCCTCCAGATACAAAGTAACAAAGTGTAATTCCCACCCCCCAATAAGCTGTCATAAATCACATTTTCCAATTAGCCTAAAATGTGGGCTTTCTCACCAGCTCCTCAGCCCACAAAAACATTATCAGCTTGTCTTGGGTTCCCACAAAGCAGAGTTATTATGCTAGCTGAATTGAGTTTTCATCCCAACCCCCCCTTACTAAACCTAATTTCTAAATATCAGAAAAAGCATGTTAAAGAAGAAGAGAAAATGACTGCATTTCATCAGTTGTCAAAGCAGGAACATCCAATGTTAGCAGCATTGACACATGCGCCTGGTGTTTGTAGAATCCTGAAAAAAGTTCTGAATTTTCTGATAATGGGCTTGCTTTGCTCCTTTTATGGCACTTTTCAAATTAACTCTGGCTGTTCTAAGTGGCAGCATATCACCGGATTTAAAAGCCACATTCAGTGCTTTCAAGCATCTTATGGATCTCATAAATCAGCCATGGTTTTTCATTAGCTTAAAAGGATAGTAGCTATCTTACCTTGTTTGTGACACAGTGCCTGGAAGGGGAAGGCAGCCATTTCATCTACTTCACATCATGAAGGGATCTAAGGATATTAGAGAAGCCAAAATAGACTTGCGTCCAAAGATCTCATGGTCTTCTTAAGATTTTGCTACTCTGCTCCCTGGGACTTCATCAAAGGCTAAAGGAACCTTTAGTTAGAAAATCTTGGATATAGATATGTTGCTTGAATTTAACAGTGGTTTAAGGATAACAAAAGCTTTGACTGCCTAATCCGTTGCATGTTGGGAGTTGGAGGGGACAGCAGTTTGCACTAGTTTTGGTGGGTGGCTGTTATTTTACCTTCAGTTCTTTATAAGAGCAGGGAACTTGGAAGTGCAGTGGGTGATTAGATGATTGGATGGAAAAGTCATGTGGTTTGTGTCCAAAGACACCCAATGCCTATCAAAAGCCTCCTAGTACCAATCACAAGGGGCAAGGGCCAGGAAGGGGGGGATCTTGGGGGCAGGTAGAAATGTGATGGGTAATGAGAGAGGATTGGAGGTAGAGAGTGGGCTGTTCACAGAGAATACTGTACTGTATTAGTTCTGCGTCCTGACTCCCTGTGCTCATCCCCAATTTCCTTAAGTGGTTTTGGACTCTGGCTGGTGCTTTTGAATAACAGGTTGGTTTCTTTCTTTTTTTTAAACAAGTTTTATTAATTTTCCAGTTTTACAAAAATCCAGGTATTAAGGAAACAGTATGGTGATTGGGTAATCAATAGTCCAATAACAATATATTTCGTACATATCTCAGGTTGCATCATTAAAAATTCCCTGTTTACTTAAATAGATTCTTACTTTATTTCACAAATATATTCTATTTCTCATCCTAGTACCTCATCACTTACTAATAAAGTATTGTAAATCTAAGTCCTAAATATTAAATCAATTAATATCTATTAAAATCTCCTTAGTCCATTAAGTAAGATTTTAGGCTCTTCCATTACAAGACAAAAAATCCCATTTTTTAAGTCTGACTCTAGCTTTCTTTTTGTGCCAAGCAGGCTTCCATACCAGTACCTTTAAATCCTCGGGTGAATCTCCTTTCATTCCCACACATGTTATTTGAATCAAGGGAGACCATCCTGTTTTCCTTGTTACCTTCTGGGAGGATGCTTCATGGTATCAGTAGCAGAATATCCAGATTCAGCCATAGTTTCATCCCATACAGCATTAACCTTGTGAACTCTCAAGCTTCCTCATTCCGTTATATATTCAAAATGGACAGTATTTAATATTTATTTGCAACGTATATGTAGGGATATGGGTCTGTACATATGTTGTTCATAATATGTTTAGGTGTGTGTCATGTATGTGTTTCACTTTGAGAGCGGGCAACTAAATTTCATTTTTGATGTGTGCCGTTGTGCCCACAGTAAAAAAATGACAATAAAGATTATCTTATCTTATTTTATCATTTTTTCAAAGGAACTGGCCCCTTTATAATCATTGGATTGTTGGCCTAATAGTTCAAATCTCCATGTTTGGTTTAGTATATTTGTCATCAGTTCAGTCTGGTCTTCTTCTTCCGGTTTCATCTGGCTTAAGTAAGAAGTCATGACCAATGTTATGATTGTTGTTTGGTTGTCTAGGTTGTCTAGGTTCTCAATATGCTGTACTTGTTATCTTCAGCATCCTCCATCTTAGTGTTGCTTTCTTCAGTTTCTGTTGCTTTTTGAATTGTAGATTTTTTAGTTGAAATCAAGATTTGATTATCAAAGTTCTCAGTAGATTGTAATTGGTGCTCTTCTGTTGCTTTTTGGATTGTAGATTCAACAGTTAAGATCTGGGCTTCATTTTGTAAATTTAGGGTGACACCTTTGTCTTTCAATCTGGAATTCATTAGCTCAGTAGCTTCAAGGATTTTTTCAAGTATAAATTTATAGTTAAGTTGTGGGTAGTGTTCCTCCATTTCTATAGTGTGTTTACAGATAGGTTGATTTCTAATAAAGCCCTAACCCTAATTTTAGATTTGATCCTCAGGCAGCCACCTTGCTCTGCATTATGGAGACCTGGCTGAGCATGAAGAAGAAATATGGCACCAAAGCTATGTTAGCAGAATTGTGATGTTTTGAGTTGAAAATGGGTCCTGTCTTTTGATAGCTGGGTACAAGACCTTACTTGTGAGATTAGGGATTAGATGCGATTGCTGGTACCAACCTCCCTCCATATAGGAATTTCTCCCTGCTACTTGATGTCATATGCAGATTGGCAGTGGAGTTCCCCAATCTTATAGTTCTGGGGGGACGTCATCCTATTTATTTGCTTAGGCAACAAAGTTGTATGCCATCACAATTATAACATTCTTGGTGACCGACAAGATACAAAAATACAATAAAGGTTTAAAAAAAACAGTAAATAAAATGAAAACAAATATATGCCATCAGTCCTCAAAAGCCCTCCAGAAATGTGCTTATTTTCAACCTTTCCTTAAAGGCAGCAATGTGGGAGACAGACAATCTGTAAAGTTTTAGGGCAGCCTTCTTCAAGCTGATGCCCTCCAGACAGGTTGTTTATACACCACCTTTATTACTTTTTATTAATAACTCAAGGCAGCAAATTCAAAATATACTCCTTCCTCCTTCTATTTTCTCTACTACAATAACCCTGTGAGGTGGGCTGAGAGAGAGAGACTTGTCCCAGCCAGCTTTCATGCCTAAGGTGGAACTATAACTCACAGTCTCCTGGCTTCTAGCATCGTGCCTTAACCGCTAGACCAAACTGGCTGTATGTAGGGCTATAATTCCATGTACTAAATATTCTACTTGCTGCCATGACTAATACTGCTGCAAACAAGAATTAAGCTATAAAGGAGTGGATGGAAAAACAATGATACAAGGAGGTTTGGTGTGTGTGAAGTACTATGCCTATCTCATCAATGCACCATATATTGGTTTGTTATACTTTATTAAAGCTACCGTGTTTCCCCAAAAATAAGACCCACCCAGAAAATAAGCCCTAGCCTGATTTTTTGGGGTGGGTCTAATATAAGCCCTACCCCAAATATAAGCACAGGGAATATGTCCAGCACAAGAGGCAACGAGCACATGAGGGCTGACGGTGTCTAGCAGCAGCCACATCCCACTGGCCGCATGGCACAATGCAAGTAAGTCTGAGGGCAGAGGCGGGAAGAGGCAGACAATCCGGACGCACTGCACACTTTTCGCTCAGAGGGAAACTGGAAGCTTCATCTGCCTGCAAATGGAGCGCTTGGAAATGGTATGATTTGCTCTGTTTCTAAGAGCCCCATTTGCAAGCAGGTGAAGCTTCCAGTCTCCATCATTTCTCCATCTGGGTAAAAAGTTTTTGGGTGCCTATGGAGCACTTGGAAACAGAGCGATTCATTTCATTTCCAGGTGCCCCAAGCAGATGAAGCTTCCAGTCTCCTTCTGGGCAAATAGTGTTTGGGCACCTATGGGGCACTTGGAAACAGAGTAGTTCACTGTTTCCAAGTGCCCCATAGGTGCCCAAACACTTTTCGCCTGGACGGAGAAATGATGGAGACAGAAAGCTTCACTTGCTTACAAAAGGAAAGAGTGTGGCAGGCAGAGGGAGGCAGCAGGGGAGGCTTGCCCCATCCGGTCATGGTACAAGCCATGGGAAAATTGGCAGAGAAGAAGGAGGAGGCAGCTGCTACTGGACAGATGATCTGCAGGGTGAAGCTGGGCCTGCCAGGACCAAAGAAAGCCCCTCTAGTAGTGGACATGGATGTTGCACAGCAGCAGTGGAGCCTTTTGCCATCATCCCCCCCTCCCCTCCGGTTCCAAAATGATGGAGGAAGACTGGGTAAGGTGACTGAGTTTCCCCTGCCTGTTCTCTATAGCATGGCAGGCTGGCTCAGGAGGGGAGTGAAAGGCAAGAGACATGAAGGCAGCTGGGTTAATGAATGGGCGGGGGGACATTGCCAAGCGGAGAGTGGCATGGCTACGGGGGCCATGAAGTAAGCAGGTGCGGGGCGCGTGAGGCAGCTCCACCGCCTTGCCTCACTTTGTGGCGGTGGCACCAGTATGACATGAGCTCTCCTACCCTGTTGCAGCCGCGAGCAACCAGATAGTGGGATGGAGTGGGTGGGCAGCTGCAAAGTCAGACATCCCCTGAAAATAAGTCCTAATGGGTCTTTTGGTCCAAAAAATAATATAAGACCCAGTCTTATTTTGGGGGAAACACACTACATATTACAGCCTAGCAAATATATGAAAAGCACATAAAGCAACTGTGAGAGGTGACGATGGAGCTGACATTTGTTCCAGGTGTAACATAATGTGTGTACTTTTTTAAACAGGAATGTCTCCAGACCATTGAGAAAAATGCATTTGAGCCTGTTCCACTCCTGCAATCTATGTAAGTCATTAAGCAAAAAAAAAAAAAAAAAAAAGTTTAAAACATGGTGAAAGAAGGGAAGGAGGCAAATTGAAATCGAATGGCTATTAATCTTCCCCTAAGTGTGCCAATGACTGATTACTGAAAGGTTGGCCTGTCTTCAACTATTTTTTAAATAGGAAAGGGGAGCTTGGACTGGAGGGTGAAGGAGGCAGCTTTCCCTCTAGAGGTTTGATCTATGATCCCAGGTAAGACAAGATGAATTTTCTATTTTCTAAGAAGTATTGTAATGAGTTCAGACTGAACTCTGAGTGGATCAAGATTCAGCCCTAAGTTGCCAGTGCCAGAGCTGAATCTTCATATGTGAGAAAAAAACCAAAGTGTTTTGGTGGAGCTACAGGGCTTACAATGAACTTAGAATCTCTACAGTCAAAACTATATTGCTTGCTGGGGATTTCTTTTGGCCTTTGAATCATGAGCTCTGCTGTCCTATTAAGTAATGACACCCCAATCCCAAATATGCATTGACTGAAGAACTAGCATGGTAATTGGAGGAAGCCTGGAGTGATTGTTCAAAAGGTTAGAGTGGTAATATCCAGCTAGTTCATTGGAAAAGAAAGAAATCACCCTCATCCTGCATGCAATTTTCACCTCCCCATTCAACGAGGAGGGAAAAAAAGTTACTTTGGGTCTGCATTATTTTATCTGTTCTTTATTTTATACAGTGGAAGGCACTCTCCATAGCTCTCTTGCTTTCCTTTCCTTTCCAGCAATCTCAGTGGCAACCATATTTTGCGGATAACGCAGGGGGCCTTTCAGGCTTGGCATGGGATGCAGTTTCTATCCAAGTTGTAAGTGAAAATGAAACTCTTTCAGATAGTGGGTGAGACATATGGTTTCCAGCAATGAGGCATAAGCTCTCCCTTAATGCTTTCAGGAGATTAGTAGGCTTGTATGGTGGATTTCAATCCCAAACACTTTTCTTTTGAAGGAGAAGATATGGCCTCTGAGTAAGGGCAGCCAACAGTCTCTAAGTTGGTCTCCAAGACAGATGTCTTGATCTCTAAATCCACCAGGGCATATTTAGGATATTTTCTTACATTGTTATGACTTTACATCCCACTTTTCCCATAACATTGGTTCTACCTATGATTATTCCACACTGCTTCCTTGGGGGTAAGAATAACTAGCATTTTGTGTTGAATTCTTATTGAACTATACAAATATATAACAAATAAGTGGAGATCCATGGCACTATTAGCATGGCAACTGTCTTTAAATTCATTGTTGCTACAATATTTCCTTAAGGCAAGTCACTCAAAATACAGTGGCAGAACTTTAAGATAATCCTTTGAGATACTAAGCATTTTCTCAGAAACTCTCTTTTTTCACGTTTAAACAACTTAGAGAGGAAAGGGAGGAAAGATCCCTCCATATCACTATTTTTTTAACCTTAGCTTTTAACAAAAAAGGTAAGCACTGTAGTAGAAATATTTGCAAATTTAAACAGGTGAGCTGGTAATATAAACCAACAGGAACCACATTCTCAAAACTCTGTGAGTAAAGGATCACTAAATTGGAAAGAGTTCCAGGAGAATATTAATGTCTCAAATTTAAATAGCATTATTATTCAGTGTGTAAAGTGTGAGGAAAAAGCCTTTGATGGAATAGGATCATTTTGGGAGAAATGATATCAAAGAATAAGAATTTAAGTACGAGTTCATATTTGCCTTATGAAGAAAAGGGGGCACGGGGTGGGAGGGCTAGGGTTGATGAATTTGGGGTGTTGAGCAAGTTCATTTGTTAACCTTATTGGATGAGGTAGTGTTGTTATTCTGGCCAACTGGGTTGTGTATTTGCTTGTTTGTGGACAGTGGTCTCCCAGATATTTGAATTTCATATTTGGCTAGTTTATCAAACAATTTTGAAACTCACTAGGAGGGAGAAAGTTGGTTTACTTTGGTTGTGCATGTATGACATTGAATTACAAATAAGCCAACTATGCTTTAGCCTGGTATGTTATACTTCAGAATTGACTATGAAGATGTTGAAGAGGTAAATAGCTTCTGTGTTTTAGGATTAATTATCAACAGTAAAGGAACTAGCCATCAAGACATATGCCATAGACTAGCACTTGGTAAGGAAGCAATGAAGAGCTGTTCAGATGCTGTGGGGTGTCTACATCTACAAAGATTAAGTGAAAGCTGGACTTTGATAGAAATAACATAGAAAGAATATTGATATTTTTGAACTTTGATGTTGGAGAACATCCCTGAGAATATTACAGATAACCAAGAAAATAAATGGATCATAAAACAAATCAATCCAGAATTCTCACTCAAGGCATGTCCAAGTCCATATTATCATATTTTGGATATAGTATGTGAAGACCCAGCTCCCTTGAATGCTAGGAAATGTGGAACGAAAGAGAAGGGGATAATCAGCAGAAATATGGATAGACTAGATTACAGCATGATTGATGTATTGTTGGAAAACCTGAGAAGCTATATGGGAACATCCTGGAGAAAGTCTGTCTATGTGGTTGGTAAGAATAGACACCAATGATAGCATATAATCTAGTCTGTGTAATTGCTTTATGAGTCACAGTGTCATTGAGCCCAGAAAATTGATTTAATTAAATGAACTCTGATTGAGTTTACTATGAAGAATGTACTGCGAACATAATTGCTAATTGGTAGCGCTAAGATTTTAACGTTTTCCAAGTCCCATCTGAAATTATCAAGGATTGAAATGATGGGTACTTTCCCCCCCTTTTCATCTGTCACTATAACACATATCGCAACTTCATCCTTTTTTCCTTACCAATTCTGAACATTACAAAAAAAGTTTTGTTTCTTGTAGAATATCTCCTTTCTGGCATGAAAATATCAGCCTACAGAGCATATACTTTAGCTACAGTAGGTGCAAAGGTTCTTTCTAGTTAAAAAGACCTTGAGAAGCAGGGCCGAAGACCTACTGCCAGTTAAAGTTAGACAGAACTGATGAGTTAAATGTACCAGAAGTGGAATATAAAGGTTTCCCCTGTTCAGTTGAGTCTGATTCTAGGGGAGGTGCTCATTTCCGTTTCCTAGCCGAGGGGCACATGGAACACTGTTGTTGTTGTTGTTGTTAATTGCGAAGTCGTGTCCGACCATCGCGACCCCATGGACAACGTTCCTCCAGGTCTTCCTGTCTTCTACCATCTTCTGGAGTCCATTTAAGTTCACACCTACTGCTTCAGTGACTCTATCCAGCCATCTCATTCTCTGTCGTCCCCTTCTTCTATTGCCCTCAATCTTTCCCAGCATTAGGCCTTTCTCCAGTGAATCCTTCCTTCTCATTAGGTGGACAAAGTATTTGAGTTTCAACTTCAGGATCTGGCCTTCTAAAGAGCAGTCGGGGTTGATCTCTTCTAGGACTGACCGGTTTGATCACCTTGCAGTCCAAGGGACTCGCAGGAGTCTTCTCCAGCATCATAGTTCAAAGGCCTCAATTCTTTTGCGCTCAGCCTTTCTTATGGTCCAACTTTCACAGCCATACATTGCAACTGGGAAAACCATGGCCTGGACTACACGCACTTTTGTTGGCAGGGTGATGTCTCTGCTTTTTAGAATGCTGTCTAGATTTGCCATAGCTTTCCTCCCCAGGAGCAAGTATCTTTTAATTTCTTGGCTGCAGTCCCCATCTGAGGTGATCTTTGAGCCCCCAAAAATAAAATCTGTCACTACCTCCATTTCTTCCCCATCTATTTGCCAGGAATTGAGAGGGCCGGATGCCATGATTTTGGTTTTCTTAATGTTGAGTTTCAAACCAACTTTTGCACTCTCCTTCTTCACCCGCATCAAGAGTCTCTTTAGTTCCTCTTCACTTTCTGCCATTAGAGTGGTATCATCTGCATATCTTAGGTTGTTGATATTTCTCCCGGCAATCTTAATTCCAACTTTTGATTCATCTAGCCCTTCCTTTCTCATGATGTGCTCTGCATATAAGTTAAACAGGCAGGGCGACAGTACACAGCCTTGCCTGACTCCTTTTCCAATTTTGAACCAATCAGTGGTTCTGTGTCCAATTCTCACTGTTGCTTCTTGACCCACATATAGGTTTCTCAAGAGACAAATGATCCAGCATATGTTGGCAATTTGATCTCTAGTTCCTCTGCCTCTTCGAAATCCTGCCTGTACTTCTGGTAGTTCTCGATCCACATACTGCTGGAGTCTAGCTTGTAGGATTTTAAGCATAACTTTACTAGCATGTGAAATGAGTGCAATAGTGCGATAGTTTGAACATTATTTGGCATTGCCTTTCTTTGGAATTGGAATGTAAACTGACCTTTTCCAATCCTGTGGTCACTGTTGAGTTTTCCAAATTTGCTGACAAATTGTGTGTAGCACTTTTACTGCATCGTCTTTTAAGATTTTGAATAGCTCAGCTGGAATACTGTCACCTCCACTAGCTTTGTTGTTGCTCAGATTTTCTAAGGCCCATTTCACTTCACATTCTAGGATGTCTGGTTCGAGGTCAGTGACCATCTCATTGTGGTTATCTGGGACGTTAAGCTCATTCTTGTATAGTTCTTCTGTGTAGTTTTGCCATCTCTTCTTAATCTCTTCTGCCTCTGTTAGGTCTCTGCCATTTTGGTCCTTTATCATGCCCATCTTTGCATGAAACGTTCCCTTCATATCTCCAATTTTCTTGAAGAGATCTCTGGTCCTCCCTATTCTGTTGTTTTCTTCTATTTCTTTGCACTGTTTATTTAAGAAGGCATTCTTATCTCTTCTAGCTACTCTCTGGAATTCTGCATTCAATTGGGTGTATCTTTCTCTTTCTCCTTTGCCTTTCGCTTCCCTTCTTTCCTCAGCTATTTGCAAAGCTTCCTCAGACAGCCATTTTGCTTTCTTGCATTTCTTTTTCTTTGGGATGGTTTTAGTTGCTACCTCTTGTACAATGTTGCGAACTTCCATCCATAGTTCTTCAGGCACTCTGTCTATCTGATCTAATTCCTTAAATCTATTTGTTACCTCTACTGTATATTCATCAGGAATATGATTGAGTTCATACCTGAGTGTCCTAGTGCTTTTCCCTACTTTTTTCAATTTAAGCCTAAATTTTGCAACGAGAAGCTCATGATCTGAGCCACAGTCAGCTCCTGGTCTTGTTTTTACTGACTGTATAGAGCTTCTCCATCTTTGGCTGCAGAGCATATAGTCAATCTGATTTCTATGTTGACCGTCTGGTGATGTCCATGTGTAGAGCCGTCTCTTGGATTGTTGGAAAAGAGTGTTTGTTATGACCATCGTATTCTCTTGACAAAATTCTATCAGCCTGTGCCCTGCTTCATTTTGTACTTCAAGGCCAAACTTGCCTGTTATTCTGGTTATCTTTTGGCTTCCTACCTTAGCATTCCAATCCCCCATGATGATAAGAACATCATTTTTTGGTGTTAATTCTATAAGGTGCTGTAGGGCTTCATAGAACCGGTCAATTTCATCCTCTTCAGCACCAGTGGTTGGGACATAGATTTGGACTATTGTGATATTGAATAGTTTGCCTTGGATTTGAATTGAGATCATTCTGTCATTTTGGGGATTGTATCCCAGTATTGCTTTTCCTATTCTTTTATTGACTATGAAGGCTACTCCATTTCTTCTGAGGGATTCTTGCCCACAGTAGTATATCTGATGGTCATCTGAGTTAAATTCACCCATTCCTGTCCATTTTAGTTCACTGATTCCTAAGATGTTCAGTCTTGTCATCTCTTTTTTGACTATGTCTAGCTTGCCTTTATTCATGGATCTTACATTCGAGGTTCCCATGGAGAAAAAATCTTTACACCATCGGACTTTCCTTTCACCACCAGATATATCCACAGCTGAGCGTCCTTTCGGCTTTGGCCCAGTCACTTCATTCTTTCTGGCGCTACTAGTACTAGCCCTCTGCTCTTCCCCAGTAGCATATTGGACACCTTCTGACCTGAGGGGCTCATCTTCCAGCGTCATATTTTTTTGCCTTTTAGTACTGTTCATGGGGTTTTCATGGCAAAGATACTGGAGTGGTTTGCCATTTCCTTCTCCAGTGGATCACATTTTGTCAGAACTCTCTGCTATGACCTGTCCGTCTCAGGTGGCCCTGCACGGCATAGCTTATAGCTTCATTGAGTTACACAAGCCCCTTCGCCACAACAAGGCAGTAATCCATAAACGGGACTGACAATCTCACATCTTTTAACTCCTGAGCAATTGTACCCTTTAAATATACAAGGATCTGATAAACCCAGATTCCAGCAAGATTCTACCACTGTACCTAAATTCTGAATTTAAGAGCAGTCTTAATACCAGCCTGCATAAATTTCTGTAGAATTCTAGATACACAAGGCCTAAGAAACTTCAATACTTGCTTTCCTGCCTGTACAACTTAACTCTAGTAATAAGGTCTTTTTCGTGATGGCTCTTTGCTTCATCCTCTTGACTAATGCTGCATTGAAATATAATATCTGACTAGTAGATAGATATTGTTATACTCCCATGATGGGGAGCAATTATTACCATTGTTTGCTATCTGTATCTTAACTCCTTATTAGTTCAACCCAGTTCTGAGCTACAAGGACAGAGAGATCTTTCCTTGTGCTTGTTCTAAACTGTGGCACCCGATTGAAAGGACTAGATTTAACTTGGAGTTTAAATATCATTGTAGCTTGTAGAACTAATAATAAAAATTTGTGAAGCCCTTGTCCTTTTTCATCCACAGTATTTTGCCTAGGAAAATGTCCTGCTGCCTTTGCAAAAATCAGGATACCATTGAAGCCTCATCTAATACCATCAAGCTGGATTGCACCAATAGATGTGTCTCAAACATTATTGATTATGGTAAGCAAAAGCATTTTTCCAAAATATTTTGCATCCATTCCAATCCTTTCACAGTCCTAACCTAGACAAAAATCCAGTGATAGAACAATACATGAGTTTGGGAGAACTAATTGATTGATTTACAAATTACTGATTGCATATTAAATGGATGCATAACCAAGCATTAACATGCACCATAAAATTGATTAAGCCAGACAGGTTTTTTTCCTTAAATTCTCTTATTATTTCTAGTGTCTCATTCAATATATTAATGCTTGTGGAAGTGATAGGTTTATTTTATTTTATTTTATTTTAATCTAATTTAGAAATGTCCATCTCCCTCAGAGAGAAACTTTGGCAGTGTACAAGTAAAATATAAAAACTGCTTATGAATATTGGGAGGCAAAATAATAAAAAGTCAAAGTGAAAAAGACAAGGGGGAGAGTCTTCAAACAAGCTTGAGCCCCAAGCAATATGGCAGAGCCTGGTCTTCAGAAAAATGGGGGCCCACCTCACCTCTGTGGGGAGAACATTCCAAACGGTGGATGTAGCAGCAGAGAAGGGTCTCTTCCTGGACCCCACCAGTCGAAATTCTTTTAACTGATAAGATCTGCAACATACCCTCCCTGCCTGCCTGAGCAGGATGGGCCGATGCAATGGGGCAAAGTCACCCTTGCAGGTAATCTGACCCCATGCCATGTACAGATTTAAAGATCATAACCAAAACCATGAATTGGACCTGAAAGCAAATTGGCTTCAATGCAACTCATGCAGCAGGGGTGTTACATGCATTTGGGGACACCCAAGATTACTTGCACAGCTGTTACCAGTTGATGCTTCCAGATATTTTTCAAGATAATCCCATGTAGATCATTGCAATAGTGCAAATAGGATATGACCAAGCAAAGAGCCTCCGGTATATACCCCAGGAAAGGGTATAACTAGTGTGCAACACAAAGTTAAGCAAAGGCCTTCCTAGGCAAAACTGGCCCCTGCTCTTCAAGGAGGAGCCATGAATCCAGGAGAACTCCCAGATTATGCACCAGATCTGCCTGGGGTAGTGCAACTCCATCCAAGACCAAAGATGATAAACTCCCAGATTAACAGAGCCCTTACTGCCAATAGCCACATGGGCTCCTCCCATCTCTACTGAAAAGATCTTACATTGTCTTTTTAAGACTTGCCTCCTTGGTCACCCAGTCTAGCATTCTAATTGCCCGGTCTAAGCAAAGTAGATTAAGAGGTGTCATTAACTATAAGGGAGCTAAAGGTCTGGAATTCAGGGTAGTTCTTCCTTCTCCATCTTGTGACTTGTGATAACTGAGATATTATCTCTTATTCTCAGATTTTTTTAAAACTTGAGTTAGCAGAAAATAGTAAAAACATTTATAATTTAAAGGATTTTTCATCTTAATCCAAAGATTATGTTAGGTGGTCTAGCCTTTCCCAATCTGATGCCTTCTAGATAGCCTTTAGCTGAGATTTCCATGATCTGTGCTTTTTATTTTGTATGGAAAGCACCATGTTGGGGAAGACTGGTACAGTCCATGGATCAAACCTGATCTATGTAATGACCACATGTTATCTATGGCAAACTATACTTTCCTTCTCAAAATTCTACCGTGAGTAACTATATGGTTCTAGTATTCAAACAGATTGTCACCACAAATTCCTGTCTTAGGCCAAGCAAGCCAGTTTTTAATATCACCTAAACATCCAAATGTCAAGATGATCTGCACTGGTTATCCACTGTGTAGTCTGAAACATGTCTGCTTAATAGTAATTGGAACTAATCCTGGGTTAAATGGGTACCAGATTGAACTCTAGGCCACATCTAATTCTAATTGGATAAACTGATATATAACTAACAAATTCAGTTATCTGTTCCACCCATAGTATTTGCTACCAGTGAAAGAAAAACCCTGTTTCCTTTTTTGACCTCCTCCTTTTTCTTCTTTCTGAGCAGAGAAAGAGGAACTTTGGGGAACCATGCAAGATGAAGTAAAGAAAGTACTGGAAACCAGAAAATTAAATTCTACCAACATATTAAATATTATCTCTGAAAAACCTGAACATTATAATGTCACTCTGTCACTCTTAATGACCCATGGGCGTATTCATTTAGGTATCCATTTTCATAAACACAGACCACATATTTTAAAATCAGCCATCAGATTAAGTAAACTCACCCCTGATGAATATGTGGATGTGATGTGGTCTGATAAAAATGAGCTGAAAAAGCTGTACAAGTTAACAGATTTGCTACTGGTAGCTCTCAAAGCAAAATTAGCAGAAAGTGAACAGGAGACTCAAGCGTTGGAGATCAAAAGGAATTGCCTACAGAAATTTCAGAAGATTATGGTAACATCATCCTGAGCACTAAAAGCCATCGGAAAAGATTTAAGGGACACCTGAAAAGGGTAAAGAGAGATCATTGGATTGGGAAAAATCCAGAAGAAAAAGAATTATTTCTAGAGGAAAAAGAATTATTTCTCAGGTTGCTCAGAGAAAACGTAGAATTTGCAAAAACTACTGGAAAACTTGCAGGAGAACAAAGAAATTTTGCTTTGTATACCATGGCAGAAAAATTGGGGACACTATCAAGGGAACTGGAGCTTCAGAAGGCTGCTTCCTTTAACAGGCTTCTTCAAGCAGCACTTCATTCCTTAAAGAACTGCTCCATTTTTCATCTTCTAACTAAGCTTCCTCCTTTGACTGCTTCTGTTGTGGTTGATGACAGTGCTGAGGAGTCAGAAACTTTGAATGAACTCTCGCCTGATATAACATTGTCTCATAAGACACATTGGAAACATCATGAACAAACCACCTCTGCTTCCCCTTTGCTTCATCTTTTGGGAGACACTGCTTATAATTTGATTCAGGGTGAACTCAATAAAATTGAATTGAACACAGGGTTGGCATCTTTCTTTCCAAGTAAGCCTATCAGGAAACTCATTTCCCTCATGATCCATATTATGAATGTGACCTGCAGAGAGTCCAATATCCAGATGGCTTGTGCTAAATTAAGCTCTAGAATAGATCTTCTCATGAAAGACTTCAGTGTGAAAAGTAGCCAGGAGACACCTGCTCTATGGATCTCCTACTTTTTGCCCCCTAAGAATGTAAATGATATGATTGCAGCAAGCTCCAGAAAAAGGGATAAACTTTCTGATGAAGTAAAGACAAACCTAGATAAGTAGTCCTAACAATTGCACTGTTAGGAGCTTTACCAACATCTGATGGCTTAGATGTGTCTCTTTTTTTTCCAGGAGACCAAATGGGTATAAATTAATTGCACATGCATTTCTGTAAAGGCAATTACTGTTTTTAAGTAAAAGTCTTGTTAGGTTGTTTAAAGTAATGTGCATGTGCGGAGATCACTTCTCGGCCTGATTTCCATGTCTGTACTCAAGAGAAAGTGACATGTGTATATAAGTAATGTTCTTCCAGATGGTGATCAGCATTTTGGGAGTGGCATATTGCACGAAGCTAAAATAACTGAAAAATGAAAATAAAGAAAAGCAGAATGAGGTTCATCAGAATTAAATCAGAGGTTGAGATAGGATGATATGGTTTTAAGAAATCTAAATTTGTATAACATTGCTTTTAAAATGAAGATGGATCCAAATGTACTTCTTTTCTAGGGAAGGGAGCTTTTATATAGATTAAAAGCACTGCAAGTGTTTGCAATATTTCTTTCATAAAGATACTGGTCATTAAAGAAAATGGATGTACTGAGCAATGGCATAGTCAAATGTTCCCTGTGCTAAAATGATAATGATGATAATAATGATGATGATGTATCATTGTCTTGGGCGTGATTTATCAACTGCTTTTGAAATTTGACATGCTATTTCAAAGGAACAGAATCAATATTGTCAGTAATAGCTGAAGATTTTTTTAGTGCTAAATTTTGCAAAAACTTTTGTAATAGTAGATGAAAATAAAACTTGGACAATATGCATATTATCTATATTCACATAATATTAAATAAGGTTTACTTTGTGATTTTCCCCAATAAATCATATACAGTATTACACATAATCATCACTTATTTTATCTATTTCCTGCCTACTTCTTAAAACTTTTTTAACCCTTACACATATGGTATCTCCCATGTCGTAGCAGCAATAATACTTTCCCCATCTATATTTATAGGTATATTTGGTCAGTGATTTATGAAGAGTTTTGTTAATGTTTTGTAAAGTTACCATTTATAAAATGTATCTCTTGATGTTCACTATAATTTAATAATTCCAAAGTGGGTTTATTATGAGCATGCATTTATAAGACTCTGCCCATGGGTTTTTTTCCTCAAAATAACTACATTTTTTTTAATGAAAGGGGTATTTTGTTAGTTTTTGTGGGGCTAATAGGTGATTTGACATACAAATTCCAGATTCTTCCATCTGTCTGGTATTCAAGATGGCAAAAAAGGTGCCAGGGAAAATTACAAGAGAGAGCAAGAGTTTTGAAACTTGCCTTTGTCTTGCCTTGAGTTTATCATGAATTGATAAGGGCCTTGGGTATGGCAAAGTATAAACCACTAATAAACCAGGATTCTAGGTTCAAGATAATAAGCCATAAATTTAAGTTGTGGGTTTATACTATAGTTATTCCTAAATTACACCGATGGGGTGATATGGCTAAGATATTCCAAATAACCAACTACTAGCTCAGCATTATCTGAGAACCCAACTGTTATAAGGCAGTCTGATACATACCAATGAGTACACATTGCTCTCTATATCATTAGTCAGGATGGAGAAAATGTTCAAATGTATGAAGGCCCATCTTCCATTTTCCTTCTCTTTGTTTAACTTTGCAAATACCAAGACAGGGAATTTCACAATCTGGATATTACAAAAAGTTGATGTTGGGTATTTCGATGGCAACAACGATGGTGGTTATTGTTGAAATAATTGTTTTGATTAAGGTAAGCTGTAATAGTTTTCTAGAGATCCTTATACTAATTTATTAACCTACAATATCTCAGTCCAGAGATGAAAAGATAAACTTCTCCAAATGTTCAATATATTGCTTTAGTGAAGAGCTAACATTTCCTTGAACACTGTAACTCGAGACGACCACATTGCTGCAGACAGGATTTAATATAATATGTTCAACCTCAAAGAGCCACAGCAGATGTGGCAGTTATATAGTAATATCACAAGGAAGAATGCAACTGATTTTTCTAAAAATTAATGGTGGTGGTGGGGACAAATAGGGGTAACTAAATGGGTGTATTGAGCTTGGATTCATTCCACCTCCAATTCTGATAAGGAACCTCTGGCTGGTGGACTTGATTTGGTCCTTATTAGTCTTACCAAGACCATGTTGGAACCTTTTTACAAACAGATGATGGAGAAAAACAGCTTATTGAGAAACAGAGAAAAAAAACATTGTTCTCTCTGCCAGTCATTGATTCTTTTTTCTCACTGTGAAAAATCTTTACATTAATCCCTCACAACCACACCTCTCTTTTCAGATTAAAACGTCAAATCCAGAGGGGCAAAAAGTCGAGGATGCCTCCATGTTCTAGCACTTACTAACCTGGTTGAAACTACAAGACAAAAAGCAATTTTCCAGACTGCCCTCCCCCAAATGAGAGTTGCTAACAGTGCAGGAAACCACCCAAAATAATTTGCTGCCCAAATCAGAGCAGCAGAGAGTGCTTCCTTTCCAGGGAGGTTTAATTTATTTTGACCCCTATGAAAAAAGATTATATGAAAGCCTCTCACTCTCTCTAGCTGGAACTGAATTCAGTTAATGATGCTACAAAATTTATTTGCTTAGTGACATAATAGGAATGGAGACGTGCCTTGCATAATGTTTTTAATGCTAGCCTCAAGCTGTTCTTCAAAGCACCTGAAGGCAGAACAAGAAGCAACGGATGGAAACTAACCAAAGAGAGAAACAACCTAGAACTAAGGAGAAACATCCTGACAGTTAGAACAATTAATCAGTGGAACAACCTACCTCCAGAAGCTGTGAATGCTCTAACGCTGGGAGTCTTTAAGAAGAAACTGGACAGCCATATGTCTGAAATGGTATAGGGTTTCCTTGCCTGAGCAGGTGGTTGGGCTAGATGACCTCCAAGATCCCTTCCAATTATTATTATTATTATTATTATTATTATTATTATTATTATTATTATTATTATTATTATTATGGATCATCGCACAGTCAGCCAGATGTTCAGACTGGATTTGGCATTTTGTCTACCTATCGAGTCCTTACCCAGGACCTGGGATAGGCAGATGTGGATGTTTGATGGTATTACAGATATCGTCGCAGGATGGAAGCAGTTCCTAGTAAGGCCGCCTTTTGCAATTGACTAATAGCGAATTTGTCAATGCCAATGGTGTTCAAGTGGTGCTCCAGTTGTTTTGGGATTGCACCCAAGGAGCCTATGACTATTGGTACTACCCTTGCTTGCTTTTGCCACAGTCTTTCTATTTCTATTTGTAGGTCTTTGTATTTTGTTATCTTCTCCAGTTCTTTCTCTTCTATTCTGCTGTCTCCAGGCACTGCCACATCCACTATCCAGACTTTTTTATTATTATTATTATTATATTATTATTATTATTATTATTACTAACTATATATGGATCATCGCACAGTCAGCCAGATGTTCAGACTGGATTTGGCATTTTGTCTACCTATCGAGTCCTTACCCAGGACCTGGGATAGGCAGATGTGGATGTTTGATGGTATTACAGGTATCGTCGCAGGATGGAAGCAGTTCCTAGTAAGGCCGCCTTTTGCAATTGACTAATAGCGAATTTGTCAATGCCAATGGTGTTCAAGTGGTGCTCCAGTTGTTTTGGGATTGCACCCAAGGAGCCTATCACTATTGGTACTACCCTTGCTTGCTTTTGCCACAGTCTTTCTATTTCTATTTGTAGGTCTTTGTATTTTGTTATCTTCTCCAGTTCTTTCTCGTCTATTCTGCTGTCTCCAGGCACTGCCACGTCCACTATCCAGACTTTTTGTCTTTCTTATCGACAATTGTTAAGTCTGGGGTGTTATGTTGCAGGTGCTTGTCTGTTTGAATTCTGAAGTCCCAGAGCAGTTTAATTTTATCATTTTCTATGACTTTCTCTATTTTATGATCCCACTAGTTTTTGCTTACAGGCAAATGATATTTTTTGCAGATCTTCCAATGCACCATTGTTGCTACTTTGTCATGCCGCTGCTTGTAGTCAGTCTGTGCAATCTTCTTGCAACAGCTTACCAAGTGGTCCACTGTTTCTTCAGCTTCTTTGCATAGGCGGCACTTACTGTCTGTTGCTGTCTTCTCAATTTTGACTTTGTATGCATTTGTCCTTAAGGCTTGGTCTTGTGCAGCCAGAATTAGTCCCTCGGTCTCTTTCTTCAATTTTCCTGCTCTTAGCCATTGCCAGGTTTTATTATTATCTGCTTTCCCAGCTATTTTTTTAATGTATTGGCCATGTAGTGCTTTGTCTTCCCATGCCTCTATTCTGTTCTTCATTTGGTCTTTCTTGTAGGCCAGTTTGGTCTCTTCAGTAGTCAGTAATCCTTCCTGATATACTAATTTCAGTGCATCTTCATCATTGTTCTTCAGATATTCTTCCAAAGCCATTTTTTCTTCTTCAACCATCTGATGTACTTGTAGCATTCCACGCCCACCTATTTGTCTTGGTAGATAAAGTCTATCAATGTCACTGCGTGGATGAAGGGCATGATTGATTGTCATTATTTTTCTGGTCTTCCTATCCATTGCTTTTAGTTCTGCTTGAGTCCAGTCCACTATTCCAGCTGTGTACCTAGTGACTGGAATTGCCCAGGTGTTGATTGCCTTTATGGTATTTCCTCCATTGAGTTTGGACTTTAAGATCTTCTTCACTCTCTTGATGTATTCACCTCTAATCTTTTTCTTTTCAGTGTGCTTGTTGTCAGCTTGAAGGATACCCAAGTATTTGTAGTAATCTTCCTCATCCAGACTCTTAATGTTATTTTCGTGGGGCATCTTGATTCCTTCAGTTTTCACTACTTTTCCTTGTTTGATAGTAAGTGTGGCACATTTGTCCAAGCCAAACTCCATAACAATATCTTGGCT